ATACAGCTGAACTGTGTCCTACCCTAAACATAACAGCACGATACAGCTGAACTGTGTTCTACCCTAAACATAACAGCACGATACAGCTGAACTGTGTCCTACCCTAAACTTAACACAATACAGCTGAACTGTGTCCTACCCTTAACATAACAGCACGATACAACTGAACTGTGTCCTACCCTAAACAGAACAGCACGATACAGCTGAACGGTGACTGGACTAAACACAACAGCAGGATACAGCTGAACAGTGCCTACACTAAACATAACAGCACAATACAGCTGAACTGTGTTCTACCCTTAACATAACAGCACGATACAACCGAACTGTGTCCTACCCTAAACATAACAGCCCGATACAGCTGAACGGTGACTGGACTAAACACAACAGCACGATACAGCTGAACAGTGACTACACTAAAAATAACAGCACAATACAGCTGAACTGTGTCCTACCTTAAACATAACAGCATGATCCATCTGAACTGTGTCCTACCCTAAACATAACAGTATGATACAGCTGAACTGTGTCCTACCCTAAACATAACGGCACGATACAGCTGCACTGTGTCCTACCCTAAACATAACACAATACAGCTGAACTGTGTCCTACCCTAAACTTAACACAATACAGCTGAACTGTGTCCTACCTTAAACATAACTGTGTCCTACCCTAAACATAACAGCCCCATACAGCTGAACTGTGTCCTACCCTAAACATAACACGATACAGCTGAACTGTGTCCTACCCTTAACATAACAACATGGTACCTACCCTAAACATAACAGCACGATACAGCTGAACTGGGTTCTACCCTAAACATAACAGCACGATACAGCTGAACTGTTTCCTACCATAAACATAACAGCACGATACAGCTGAACTGGGTCCTACCCTAAACATAACAGCACGAAACAGCCGAACTGTGTTCTACCCTAAACATAACAGCCCCATACAGCTGAACTGTGTCCTACCCTAAACATAACAGCACGATACAGCTGAACGGTGACTGGACTAAACACAACAGCAGGATACAGCTGAACAGTGACTACACTAAACATAACAGCACAATACAGCTGAACTGTGTCCTACCCTAAACATAACAGCACGAAACAGCTGAACTGTGTTCTACCCTAAACATAACAGCACGATACAGCTGAACTGTGTCCTACCTTAAACATAACAGCACCATACATCTGAACGGTGACTGGACTAAACACAACAGCACGATACAGCTGAACAGTGACTACACTAAACATAACAGCACAATACAGCTGAACTGTGTCCTACCTTAAACATAACAGCACGATACATCTGAACTGTGTCCTACCCTAAAAATAACAGCATGATACAGCTGAACTGTGTCCTACCCTAAATATAACAGTATGATACAGCTGAACTGTGTCCTACCCTAAACATAACACAATACAGCTGAACCGTGTCCTACCCTTAACATAACAGCACGATACAACTGAACTGTGTCCTACCCTAAACATAACAGCCCGATACAGCTGAACTGTGTCCTACCTTAAACATAACAGCATGATACATCTGAACTGTGTCCTACCCTAAACATAACAGTATGATACAGCTGAACTGTGTCCTACCCTAAATATAACATTATGATACAGCTGAACTGTGTCCTACCCTAAACATAACAGCACGATACAACTGAACTGTGTCCAACCCTAAACATAACAGCACGATACAGCTGAACTGTGTACTACCCTAAACATAACAGCGTGATACAGCTGAACTGTGTTCTACCCTAAACATAACAGCACGAAACAGCTGAACTGTGTTCTACCCTAAACATAACAGCCCGATACAGCTGAACTGTGTCTTTCCTTAAACATAACAGCACGATACATCTGAACTGTGTCCTCCCCTAAACATAACAGTATGATACAGCTGAACATTGTCTGCCTGAACATAACAGCATGATACAGCTGAACAGTGACTGCCCTAACATAACAGCATGATACAGCTGAACTGTGTCCATACATCTGAACTGTGTCCTACCCTAAACATAACAGTATGATACGGCTGAACTGTGTCCTACCCTAAACACAACACAATACAGCTGAACTGTGTCCTCCCCTGAACATAACAGCACGATACAACTGAACTGTGTCCTACCCTAAACGTAACAAGACGATACAGCTGAACTGTGTCCTACCCTTAACATAACAGTATGATACAGCTGAACATTGACTGCCTGAACATAACAGCATGATACAGCTGAACAGTGACTGCCCTAAACATAACAGCATGATACAGCTGAACAGCGTCCTACCCTAAACGTAACAAGACGATACAGTTGAACTGTGTCCTACCCTTAACATAACAACATGATACAGCTGAACAATGACTGCCTTAAACATAACAGCATGATACAGCTGAAAAGTGTCCTACCCTAAACATAACAGCATGATACAGCTGAACTGTGTCCTACCCTTAACATAACATGATACAGCTGAACTATGTCCTACCCTTAACATAACAACATGATACAGCTGAACATTGACTGCCTCAAACATAACAGCATGATACAGCCGAACTGTGTCCTACCCTAAACAAAACAGCATGATACAGCTGACCTGTGTCCTACCCTAAACATACCAGAATGATACAGCTGAACTGTGCCCAACCCTTAACATAACAACTGTCTTACCCTAAACATAACACGATACAGCTGAACTGCGTCCTAACCTAAACATAACAGCACGATACAACTGAACTGTGTCCTACCCTAAACATAACAGCACGATACAGCTGAACAGTGTCCTACCCTAAACGTAACAAGACGATACAGCTGAACTGTGTCCAACCCTTAACATAACAACATGATACAGCTGAACATTGACTGCCTTAAACATAACAGCGTGATACAGCTGAACTGTGTTCTACCCTAAACATAACACGATAAAGCTGAACTGTGTCCTAACAGCACGATACAGCCGAACTGTGTCCTACCCTCAACATAACAACATGATACAGCCGAACATTGACTGCCTTAAACATAACAGCACGAAACAGCTGAACTGTGTTCTACCCTAAACATAACAGCACGATACAGCTGAACAGTGACTGCCCTAAACATAACAGCATGATACAGCTGAACTGTGTACTACCCTAAACATAACATCACGAAACAGCTGAACTTTGTCCTACCCTAAACATAACAGCACGATACAGCTGAACTGTGTCCTGCCCTAAACATAACAGCACGATACAGCTGAACTGAATCCTACCTTAAACATAACAGCACGATATAACTGAACTGTGTCCTACCCTAAACATAACACAATACAGCTGAACTGTGTCCTACCCTAAACATAACAGCATGATACAGCTGAACTGTGTCCTACCCCAAACATAACAGCACGATACAGCTGAACTGTATCCTACCTTAAACATAACAGCACGATACATCTAAACTGTGTCCTACCCTAAACATAACAGCATGATACACTGAACTGTGTCCTACCCTAAACATAACAGCACGATACAACTGAACTGTGTCCTACCCTAAACATAACAGCGTGATACAGATGAACTGTGTTCTACCCTAAACATAACAGCCCGATACAGCTGAACTGTGTCCTACCTTAAACATAACAGCATGATACACTGAACTGTGTCCTACCTTAAACATAACAGCACGATACAACTGAACTGTGTCCTACCCTAAACGTAACAACACGATACAGCTGAACAGTGACTGCCCTAAACATAACCACATAATACAGCTGAACAATGACTGCCCTAAACATAACCACACGATACAGCTGAACAATGACTGCCCTAAACATAACAGCATGATAAAGATGAACTGTGTTCTACCCTACACATAACAGCACGATACAGCTGAACAGTGACTGCCCTAAACATAACAGCATGATACACTGAACTGTGTCCTACCTTCAACATAACAGCACGATACAGCTGAACTGTGTACTACCGTAAACATAACAGAATGATACAGATGAACTGTGTTCGACCCTAAACATAACAGCATGATACACTGAACTGTGTCCTACGTGTCCTACCTTAAACATAACATCATGATACACTGAACTGTGTCCTACGTGTCCTACCTTAAACATAACATCATGATACACTGAACTGTGTCCTACGTGTCCTACCTTAAACATAACATCATGATACACTGAACTGTGTCCTACCTTAACCATAACAGCACGATACAACTGAACTGAGTCCTACTCTAAACATAACAGCATGATACACATGAACTGTGTCCTACCCTAAATATAACAGCATGATACAGATGAACTGCGTTCTACCCTAAACATAACAGCATGATACAGCTGAACTGTGTCCTACCTTGTTGAGGAATCCCTTCAGTATGGACGCTGCCTTGACAGACAATGATCGTGGAATTCGTATAGTTTTCTCCAAGATAACTGAAACATCAACCAACACAGTATAGTGTTTGTATGATGATTTTACCAGTCATCATTACTTTCCTATATTTACGCTGATATAAAGCTGCTAGTTGTGATAATTGCATAATACATCATCAGTTTTTCTCCATGTTATCTGGGCCCAGATTTTTAAAATGTTATTAATTATTAACTCAATCAGTGGTTAGTGCAAAAACAAATAATTTATATCTTAAAAAACAACCTTTAACCAAGATGTATAATGATTTTACCAGTCATCATTACTTTCCTATTTTTACGCTGATATAAAGCTGCTAGTTGTGATAATTGCATAATACATCATCAGTTTTTCTCCTTGTTATCTGCCCCCAGATTTTCAAAATGTTATTAATTATTAACTCAATCAGTGGTTAGTGCAAAAATAAATAATTTATATCTTAAAAAACAACCTTTAACCAAGATGTATAATGATTTTACCAGTCATCATTACTTTCCTATTTTTACGCTGATATAAAGCTGCTAGTTGTGATAATTGCATAATACATCATCAGTTTTTCTCCTTGTTATCTGGGCCCAGATTTTTAAAATGTTATTAATTATTAACTCAATCAGTGGTTAGTGCAAAAACAAATAATTTATATCTTAAAAAACAACCTTTAACCAAGATAAAACTGAACTTTCCAGGTAGCAAATATTTTAGTGTAGAGTAAAATTACACGCAAAATAAGGATTTTTGTACATTGTTTATTGACCATATTATTACAGGTTGAAAAATACAGGTAATCACCTTCTGAACAACTGGGCCCTGATAGATAATTTTAGCACTAAATCATGACTGGTGTATTACTGAAATCAATGTACAGATATGGGATTGCACTATAATAAGTATGTTAACAATATAAAGGAATTTTTAAAGTCATGTCGTTTTTGTGCAAATACCTACATTGTATAAAGAAAGCTGTAAAATGCTTCGTATTCATACAAACAATGCATCATCTGTGTATACTGGCTTCAATATACATTTACATTTTTGTCACAAAATAACCATCAAATTCTCATAATTTTCCAATTTCAATCAGTATGTGATAAACATATACTCTTGAATTGAATTTTAGCACAACTTTGAAATTGTGTATTTCCATGAGGAGAGGTACATAATATAACTTGTTTACCTTGATATATATCTAAGCGAAAGTAACTTGTGTTTAATGTTGAAAGAGCATATATTCCTGGGTTGTATACTTAAGACTAATAGAGGAAGTTAACTTGTGTTTAACTTGGAAGAGCTAAGGGAGGTAACTTGTGTTTAACTTGGAAGAGCTAAGGGAGATAATTATAATCTTGTGTTTAACTCGGAAGAGCTAAGGGAGGTAACTTGTGTTTAACTTGGAAGAGCTAAGGGAGGTAACTTGTGTTTAACTTGGAAGAGCTAAGGGAGGTAGCTTTTGTTTAACTTGGAAGAGCTAAGGGAGGTAAGTTGTGTTTACCTTGGAGGGGCTAAGGGAGGTAAGTTGTGTTTACCTTGGAAAAGCTAAGGGAGGTAAGTTGTGTTTTCCTTGGAAGAGCTAAGGGAGGTAAGTTGTGTTTACCTTGGAAGAGCAAAGGGAGGTAAGTTGTGCTTACCTTGGAAGAGGTAGTCTTCAGTGTTCTGGTCCGGATTGTCTGCTGCTCCTACCACATCAAACGGAGATCTTCCTGCCAACATCTCAAACATGAGCACTCCAAGGGCCCACCAGTCCACACTGAAATCTGTATAAGTGGGATACATGGTGATAATGCTTACTACACTAGAGGGAACTATGATCCACATATTCCTGGGTTGTATACTGCCTACCACTAGGGGGAGTTATGATCCATATATTCCTGGGTTGTATACTACTGACCACTAGAGGGAGCTACGATCCATATATTCCTGGGTTTTATACTACTGACCACTAGAGGGAGCTATGATCCACATATTCCTGGGTTGTATACTATTTACCACTAGAGGGAGCTATGATCCACATACTCCTGGGTTGTATACTACTGACCACTAGAGGGAGCTACGATCCATATATTCCTGGGTTTTATACTACTGACCACTAGAGGGAGCTATGATCCACATATTCCTGGGTTGTATACTACCGTTCCACTAGAGGGAGCTATGATCCACATATTCCTGGGTTGTATACTACTGACTACTAGAGGGAGCTATGATCCACATATTCCTGGGTTGTATACTACCGTTCCACTAGAGGGAGCTATGATCCATATATTCCTGGGTTGTATACTACTGACCACTAGAGGGAGCTATGATCCACATATTCCTGGGTTGTATACTATTGACTACTAGAGGGAGCTATGATCCATATATTCCTGGGTTGTATACTAATGACCACTAGAGGGAGTTTCTAATGATCCATATATTCCTGGGTTGTATATTACTGACCACTAGAGTGAGCTATGATCCACATATTCCTGGGTTGTATACTAATGACCACTAGATGGAGCTATGATCCACATATTCCTGGGTTGTATAGTAATGACCACTAGAGGGAGCTATGATCCACATATTCCTGGATTGTATACTACTGACCACTAGAGGGAGCTATGATCCATATATTCCTGTGTTGTATACTAATGACCACTAGAGGGAGTTTCTAATGATCCATATATTCCTGGGTTGTATATTACTGACCACTAGAGGGGGCTATGATCCACATATTCCTGGGTTGTATACTACTGACTACTAGAGGGAGATATGATCCACATAATCCTGGGTTGTATACTACTGACCACTAGAGGGAGATATGATCCACATATTCCTGGGTTGTATACTAATGACTACTAGAGGGAGCTATGATCCACATATTCCTGGGTTGTATGCTACTGACCACTAGAGGGAGCTATGATCCATATATTCCTGTGTTGTATACTAATGACCACTAGAGGGAGTTTCTAATGATCCATATATTCCTGGGTTGTATATTACTGACCACTAGAGGGGGCTATGATCCACATATTCCTGGGTTGTATACTAATGACTACTAGAGGGAGCTATGATCCACATATTCCTGGGTTGTATATTACTGACCACTAGAGGGAGCTATATGGTCCACATATTCAAGATTAATATATAAAGCAAGCCATAGTGTAAATTGTATACCACAACATGGACCACTAGAGGGAACCAGTGTGAAATGTACTACTTTCAACCACTTAAGGGAAACAACATTTTTACATGGATCCTCTTCTTTAACTAAACAATATTAAACTGAAATATTACATTTCTGCCATGTTGCCATTCAAATATATAAATGTTTGTTGTTTATGTCAAACATGTATGTAGTTAGGGCCCTGGATACAAAATGTACCTTCAAATAGTAGGTTAACAGACTAGAGTTAACAAAGGTAATACCAAAATATTAATATGTTTCACCATACAAACTGTAATGTAGTGCAAATGTCAACATACATGTACATTTCCATAATATTGTTATGTATAACAAAGGGAATGAAAATCAAACTTACACCTTTCTAAAAAGTACCTTATTCTTTCTTTAAGTTACTCCCCTTTTCAATAACTCCTTATCTTAAAGTTACCCCGTTCTCAATAATTCCTTATTTTAAAGTTATCCCATTCTCAATAACATCCTATCTTAAAGTTATCCCATTCCCAATAACTCCTTATCTTAAAGTTATCCCATTCTCAATAACTCTACATCTTAGATGTAACCCATTTTCAGGAAATTTTACAATTATCTAAAAAATACTCTATTTTCAATTTAAAAGTTTGCCCATCCTCAATAAATCTGTTTGTCAAAGTTACCCCATTTTCAGTATATTTACATGTACCTTATCTGAAATACCATATTTATCCTGCAATAAGCCCAATGAACCAACACATAAAATTTGACTGAATTAGTGGGACAGGTTTATTACATTACAGGACAATGAAAAACTTTTTTTTAAATTAGTGGTATGGGTTAATTACAGGACAATGAAAAACAGGACAATGAAAAACCTAGTTTTTTTTAATAAGTTGGACGGGCTTATTACAGGACAATGAAAATAAATAAAAAAAATAGTGGGACAGGCTTATTACAGGACAATGAGAACCTAGTTTTTTTAAATTAGTGGGACAGGCTTATTACAGGACAATGAGAACCTAGTTTTTTTTAAATAAGTGGGACGGGCTTATTACAGGACAATGAGAACCCATTTTTTTAATTAGTGGGACGAGCTTATTACAGGACAATGAAAACCTATTTTTTTAATTAGTGGTATGGGCTTTTTACAGGACAAAGCTTTTGTCAGCATTCCTTCCTAACTGCAATAAATAGTGGTAAGCTTATTACCAAGCATGGGCTTATTCCTAGATAAATATGGTAACCATGCCAATAACATATACCTTATACCTTTAATACAAATATAACCTACTTTAAACTTTTAATACAAATATAACCTACTTTAAACTTTTAATACAAATATAACCTACTTTAAACTTTTAATACAAATATAACCTACTTTAAACTTTTAATACAAATATAACCTACTTTAAACTTTTAATACAAATATAACCTACTTTAAACTTTTAATACAAATATAACCTACTTTAAACTTTTAATACAAATATAACCTACTTTAAACTTTTAATACAAATATAACCTACTTTAAACTTTTAATACAAATATAACCTACTTTAAACTTTTAATACAAATATAACCTACTTTAAACTTTTAATACAAATATAACCTACTTTAAACTTTTAATACAAATATAACCTACTTTAAACTTTTAATACAAATATAACCTACTTTAAACCTTTAATACAAATATAACCTATTTTAAACATTTAATACAAATTTAACCTATTTTAAACCTTTAATACAAATATATAGAGTTAATGTAAGATGCTATATTATTAGATTTTCCCCGCAGACTGTTATATTGTAAGTCAACCATGAAGAAAGCAATACAGCTGTAACCATACTTAATATTCAAAATGTTAGTACAACAACGAAACTACAGATTAATGGATTAATGTGAACACTTTCTGTGAAATGTTACATTTCTATAATATCCTTGATTTTGGTTGGCTTCAAAAGCATGTAAAACAGCATCTAGAAACTGTTCCTGACACTAGCCTTCATATTAACATTAGAAAATCAACACTGATGAATCCTGCAAAGAAGAATTCTGTTTTCCGTGATATTACCACAAATTTCAACAATACAAAGGCTTTCTCTCATCTTCATTCCCTTTATATACAGATTGTCATTAACAAAGTGCCGGATATCATAGATAAATTCACTAACATAATAAACACAGAGAAGCTAAAAAGCCAACAGTTCCCATCAATAGCAATATATCCAAACACAAGAAAGATAACTCTGTTTAGCATATATGTGTATGGTAGCAGGCCACAATATAGAAAAGTGTCATAGATTTCTGTGTATAGTTATTATATAATTAGGACTCTCAAGCAGATATAACGAGACTACACAAGCATCAGAGTCGGCAACTGGTTCCAGATACATTTTCTTCAACTTTTTGTTATTGCAATCTTGAATCGATAGGTTTCATGATTCTCTGTCTAGCACATACAAAAATTGATCATTTTAGTCACAATCATGTAACACTTAGGCAGAAACTTTCATTATTTATTTTAGTTGAAGTCGTAATCATCTAAAGTCTCTGAAGATACAAAACAGGTTATGTATTCAAACAAACTTCAGCAAGGCAAAGTTTTGCCAACTATCCATAGTCCCCTATGTCTGAACAAACTTTTATGAAAAATGAAGAAAGGGCGATAACCTGTATATAGTGGTGTACAAGACAGGGCGATAACCTGTATATAGTGGTGTACAATTTGTTTGTTTGTTTGATTTTGTTTAACGTACTATTAACAGCTAAGGTCATTTAAGGACGGCCTCCCCTGGGTGCAAGATGCATGCGTGTAGTGTATGTGTGTGTATTTTGGGAGGCTGCAATATGTTCGTGTTTGTCTCCTTGTGATAGCGCGGAACTGATGCATATAGTGGTGTTCAAGACAGGGTGATAACCTGTATATAGTGGTGTAGAAGACAGGGCGATAACCTGTATATAGTCGTGTACAAGACAGGGCGATAACCTGTATATAGTCGTGTACAAGACAGGGCGATAACCTGTATATAGTGTTGTACAAGACAGGGCAATAACCTGTATATATAGGGGTGTACAAGACAGGGCGATAACCTGTATAGAGGGGTGTACAAGACAGGGCGATAGCCTGTATATAGAGGTGTACAAGACAGGGCGATAACCTGTATATAGTGGTCTACAAGACAGGGCAATAACCTGTATATATAGTCGTGTACAAGACAGGGCGATAACCTGTATAGAGGGGTGTACAAGACAGGGCGATAGCCTGTATATAGAGGTGTACAAGACAGGGCGATAACCTGGATATAGTGGTGTACAAGACAGGGCGATAACCTGTATATAGTGGTGTACAAGACAGGGCAATAACCTGTATATATAGTGGTGTACAAGACAGGGCGATAACCTGTATATAGTGGTGTACAAGACTGTATCAGTACTTAAACTTATACAGATACTTTGTTATATTCAGAGGTACTTGTAGGTGACAGAGTATAGGCGATATGCCCCAGACAAAGTCTCACAAAATGAAGAAAGGGCCATAACTCTGTATATATCCAGACCTAAGACAAGATTTCATTATGTGATACCTTTCATTCCAAGACATTATAGTCTACCAAATTTGGTAATTGTTGGTGACAGAGTATATGTGATATGCCGGGGACAAGGTGACACAAGGTGACCACGTGAACTCCAGTTGAGACGCGAGACACCATTTCAGTATAAAACCTCATGCCGTTCCAGGAGTTTCTTGCATATAAAATTTGGCAATTATAGGTGACAAAGTGATACAGACAGACAGGCAGTACCTAGTGTCCTACCCTTCTATTCAGAACACTACTTATATAATATTATATGCTTTCTTCTTCCAGTATCAACAGCTCAGTACAAAGACAACCAGCAATGCAGTAACTGTGCCCAGACACAGGGTTTTAGGCCTAACCCTGATTGTAGATTTAATACAGGTATAGTAAAGTGTTGACACAGCGATAGTATGAGGGGGAAATCTCAGCCTCGCAGACACAAATTCCTCAGGTCAAATATTGGAGCATTTTCCATATACAAAGGTCTATCAAATGTTTTTGCTGTGCTGCAGAGAAAATTCTGGATATTATATGCTAAAGCACGCTATGAATGTGGTTAAATGGAGGGTAAGGCAAGTGACGACAGGTGCCAATGATTGTATTCTAAAAGATAAATAAAGATTAAAGATATTATAGATATCAGTATTCTACTTCCCAGTTATACTGAATTAAATCTAAGCTCTTTAGACCAATATGTAAACAGAATTGTTTTTTGTATACATTTTATATTATACAGTTACACAGTATTGCATGAGTCAATGACATATATTACTGTCATACAACAGACCTAGAGTCAATATGTTAGAAAAACATGTTGTCCCGAAATTATGGTCAAAATTTATTATTTCAGTTATAAAACAAGCTGCTAAATACCTGATCAGCTCCAGGGTGTCACATAACTAATTCAAGTTCTTTAAAAATCCCCTGAATTCCCTATTGTTATCACTTCAACAAACTTCTTTAAAATACGATTGAACAAAATGATGCTTGCAATCGGGTATTCTTGGTGAACGATTACATTTTCTCTCATTTCCCTGTGTGTAAGATAGAGCTGTCCAAGGTAAGAAAGGAGTGTAGAAAATTTCTATCTTACACCCCATTTCACGAGACTTAACGCCACAATGACATCACGTCAGGAATTTGGAACTCTCCGATGCCGCAATGCGGAAAAGGCGACGTGATGAAATTAAAATTGTTAACTATGTATTTACCTTACACATTAGAAAGATGTGATTAATTTTTCAGAGCAAACATTGTTTGCAAATATGGGATATGCTTAACTCATTCACCCCTGAAATGGACTATTCCAACCTTTTAATTGGAAGAGTTCAAATGCATCTTCAGGGGTGAATGAGTTAATCTGGCTGGCTGATTCATTTTTGTCTAAAAAGCTCAGGGGAAAAATTGATATTTTCAAAATGGTGGCAAGTCCAAACGCATTTTCATGGTTTCTGGCCTTATTCTGGTTGTTGGAATGAGAGAAAAATTGATTCCCTATCCTACACCCATGGGCATGAAAGATGCTTATAATATTTCAATCAACAGCAATAAAATCCTGTATGTAACTGAACAGCAGGACATAATACCAGAGCAAATAACATTTGACCATTGATTTGAAACATCATACAGGCTTTTAGCAAGATATAATTTATTTTGAATTTTTGTTATCTGGCTGAGTGAAACTTAAACTTGTGCACTTGACATTTTCATGAGCCTTATTTGACCTGAGGAATCTGTAAGTCTATAAATGCAGTAACTGTGTCCTGTACAGGCACATCAGTGACAATTACCATGCATGTCTGGCAATTTCACACACATTTCAGTGACAATGTACACGCATTTCAGTGACAATGTACACACATATCAATGACAATGTACACACATCCCAATGACAATGTACACACATATCAATGACAATGTACACATGTATCAATGAAAATGTACATGCTTATGTGACAATGTACATGCATATGTACACATGATGTATACCATAATCCTCTCCCCTGAGGACCTCTGGAGCGATGTAATTTGGAGTTCCACAGAATGTGTTAGTCCGGTCTCCTCGCAACAATCCTTCCTGTTAAACAACGTGGCAGACAACAGGTTACATATACAGTCACAAGTAGTTGGTGTTACTTAAATACTCTGTCTGAATCAACAAAGGTTCTGTCAATTGACTGCAAGCCTGTCACTAAATATTTTCTTTATGAATATACCATTCAATATTTTAGTTCAATTTCTTATAAAATAAATCTATAATTCATCTAGTATAAAAAAAATATCAGTTAATTTTAGTATTAATTGGCTAAAGCAAGCAATCAATGCAGACATTTGTTGATTCATAATGACCTAATTGAAAAACCATCCATCTACAGTTGTCTCCCTTTTATCAAAATTCCCAGTCTTTCAAATGACTCCAATTCTTTGCATGAATCACCACAAAATACAGCGTTAACTTAAATTTTACTTAACCCTTTCACCACTGTAGACCAAAATGGACTCATCCAGATCAAAGCATAGTAGAGTCTACTAAAGTTACATAGAGGTGAAAGGGTTAAAAAAGGGAACTGATAACAAAAAAATAACAAAGGGGAGACAACTTAGAGTAGGATTCCTTAGGCCTGAAGACAAAAAGCTTGAACACCCTGAAAAGAAGCCAAGTATTAGTAAAAGATAAAAACATAAATACCATATCCACACTATTATAGTCTACGGTGTACCATCACCCGACAGGAGTCAGTGCTGCCATCTGGTGATGGATATACAACCTACCATAGTCTTCGCCGCGGAGAATTTCAGGGGCTATGTAATTAGGGGTACCACAAAAAGTACTGGTCAAGTCTCCGTTCCGCAGTCCTTCCTACATGGTCAACAACAAGAGCAAAATCAGGGCTCATTTCTCAAAGCCTGGTTAACTTAATTTTTTGTAAATGCAACTTTTCAAAACATTACATTTTGAAAAATATCTGAAATTTTAGATACATTTCTTTTTATCATTGCCATATCATCTTAAATCCTGACATGAGGATTTAGTTTGAATGTTGAATGAATGCTTGTGTATAAGGATTGGGTCCTACTATAGACAAAAGAATAAATAACTTCTAGTAGTTTTCCATTTGTATACTGACATCCCCAATAATTTTGTTGACCAGATAGCTCTGTTGTAGAGACAGTGTAAGGGACTTCTTGGTTATAACCTATGAAGCAGTTCATATGAAAAATGTGTGCAGTGTTTAAGGTAGAAACATAATAATCAAGTAATTCCTTAGATCATCACATATGACATTAAAACTATATCATGTGATAGGCGATACGAAATCCTATACTATATATCATGTGATAGGCGATACAAAATCCTATACTATATATCATGTCACAGGAGATACGAAATCCTATACTATATATCATGTGATAGGCGATACGAAATCATATACTATATATCATGTCACAGGCGATACGAAATCCTATACTTTATATCATGTGATAGGCGATACGAAATCCTATACTATATATCATGTAATAGGGGATACGAAATCCTATACTATATATCATGTGATAGGCGATACAAAATCCTATACTATCAAGGCATTACAAGTGATTCAAATCCCCTCACATTCACACATTTCGACATTGAGAGGAAATGAAGTCACTAGAGCGGTTTTTCTAAAAATAGTAACAGTAACCATGACCTTGAACATAACAAGAGGCCCATGGGTCTTAACGGTCACCTGATATATTTATACAGAGAGTTGATTTCTGTTTTTAACATGAACAGAAATATTATTCAAAGTGACAAAAAACAATAAAACCACCTTTTTCAATATCAAGCATGCAGATTTAAGACTGAAAAGTATTTGAAACTAGCACCCCTTATTCTAAACAAGGAAAATGAAATTGTATTTTAGCACACAGACTCCATTGGGCCCCACCCTACAGCCCTTGGGGGTAGGGATGGCTCAAAATTTACAAAGTATCAAACTGTCAACTTAGGGTTATAATTCCAATCAAGTTATCAACATGTAATATTCAAAGTATCATTTGCCATTATAAACCATAACAAATTTTGAAATCATGAAATTCCGTTGAGGAATGAAGTCGCTAGAGCGATGACAATGAGTGTAACATAAATACGGGCGGAATTCTATATCGTCTCAAACTTTTGTTGCGAGGGGATAATAACTCACCAGTAGTAACCTGTTCAAGTTACACAGTAAATTGATATGTATAGTTCTGTCTGTGAACTGGCCATGGTTGACAACGCTGTAGTGTACCACACAAATGATGTAGGTATAATGTACCTTACACATGCCGTAGATAATTACGTACCTTACACATGCCGTAGTCGGTGAGTTTGACGTGGCCCTCCTGGTCCAGTAACACATTGTCTAACTTGAGATCTCGGTACACAATACCTGTGACAGGGACAAAGTGTAAGTCATGTACTACATATAAACACATTACAACAAATACCATTCTCTCTTCTGCCGAAAGGCTATAATAGTGGACGTAAAACCATCAAAATCCCTACCAATCCACCATCATGGATGTAATTAGTGTTCAAAGATGTCATAAGTATCTGTTTCTTTCTATTTGTCAGGTCTTTCAAACCTGTTTTCCCTAAATCTGTGGAGCTTGACGACACAACACTCCTTTTCAAAATTAAATGTAAATTCTGAAAATATTTGTAGTATTTTGTTAATGTGGACTATCTTTGACTTGTTCAGGAGATTCATTCAGCTGAATGATATAATATCACCTTTTATTCTTATGATTTTAAGTACATGCATAACAGGCTTACCCCTCTCATGGAGGAAGTTGAGGGCTAGACAAATCTCAGCGCCATAAAACCGGGCGTGTTCCTCTGGGAGTCGGCGCTGCCTCTGCATGTGGAACATCAGGTCTCCACCACTCACAAACTCTATCACAAAGAACAACCTACAAACACAACAAATCAGATTACTTTATTACAGACAAGCGGAGGCAACTCTATCACAAAGAACAACCTACAAACATAACCAATCAGATTACTTTATAACAGACAAGGGGAGGCAACTCTATCACAAAGAACAACATACAAACACAACCAATCAGATTACTTTATTACAGACAAGCGGAGGCAACTCTATCACAAAGAACAACCTACAAACATAACCAATCAGATTACTTTATAACAGACAAGCGGAGGCAACTCTATCACAAAGAACAACCTACAAACACAACCAATCAGATTACTTTATAACAGACAAGCGGAGGCAACTCTATCAATCCGATTAGCTTACAACAAGAGGCCCAAGAGGGCCTGTATCGCTCACCTGAATATTTAAGCAGTCATAGCAAAATATTCTCATTAAATATTATATTGCACTAAAAATATTTCCCTCACAAACTTTGTTGGCTCCAACTGTTGAAATTACCAGGAAAATATTATTACAAGATTCTATGCTTTTTGATTCTTCAGAAGTTGCTTGACATATTTTTCCCTGTGACCTTGTAAGTAGGTCAATGTTATTTTCCTTCTCAAATTGGTAAGCTCTATTCCAAAAGCTACCAGCCAAATCTCATGAATCCATTCCTTTTAGTTCTAAAGAACAAATCCATTAAAATGTTGTTGACCTCTGTGACCTTGAAAGTAGGTCAAGGTCACTTTCATTCGCAAACTTTGTTGGGCTCTTTCCTAGGAAGCTGCAAGCCAAATATAAAGATTCTATACCTTTCAGTTGTTCAGAAGAAGTCGTTTGAAGTGTCTGACACATTTGACCCCTGTGACCTTGAAGGAAGGTCAAGGTCATTTTCTTCCTCAAACTTTGTCGGGCTCTATCCCAGGACGCCATCAATCAAATATAAAGATGCTATACCTCTCAGTTCTTCAGAAGAATTAATTTGAAGCTTTTGACACATTTGACCCCTGTGACCTTGAAAGTAGAACAAGGTAATTTTCATTCTCAACCTTTGTTGGGCTCCATCCCAGGAACCAATCAGCCAAATATGAAGATTCTATACCTTTCAGTTCTTCAGAAGAAGTCGTTTGAAGTTTTTGACATATTTGACCCCTGTGACCTTGAAAGTAGGTCAAAGTCATTTTCATTCGCAAACTGTGTTGGACTCTATCCCAGGAAGCCACCAGCCAAATATAAAGATTCTATACCTTTCAGTTCTTCAGAAGAAGTCGTTTGAAGTGTTTGACACATTTGACCCCTGTGACCTTGAAAGTAGGTCAAGGTCATTTTCATTCTCAAACTTTGTTGGGCTCTATCCCAGGAAGCCATCAGCCAAATATGAAGATTCTATACCTTTTAGTTCTTCAGAAGAAGTCGTTTGAAGTTTTTGACATATTTGACCCCTGTGACCTTGAAAGTAGGTCAAACTAATTTTCATTCTCAAACTTTGTTGGGCTCTATCCCAGGAAGCCACCAGCCAAATATAAAGATTCTATACCCTTCAGTTCTTCAGAAGAAGTCATTTGAAGCTTTTTACACATTTGACTCCTGTGACCTTGAAAGGAAGGTCAAGGTCATTTTCATTCTCAATCTTTGTTGGGCTCCATCCCAGGAACCAATCAGCCAAATATGAAGATTCAATACCTTTTAGTTCTTCAGAAGAAGTCGTTTGAAGTTTTTGACATATTTGACCCCTGTGATCTTGAAAATAGGTCAAACTAATTTTTATTCGCAAACTTTGTTTGGCTCTATCCCAGGAAGCCACCAGCCAAATATAAAGATTCTATACCTTTCAGTTCTTCAGAAGAAGTTGTTTGAAGTGTTTGACACATTTGACCCCTGTGACCTTGAAAGTAGGTCAAAGTCATTTTCATTCTCAAACTAAGTTAAGCTCCATCCCAGGAAGCCATCAGCCAAATATGAAGATTCTATACCTTTTAGTTCTTCAGAAGAAGTCGTTTGAAGTTTTTGACATATTTGACCTCTGTGACCTTTAAAGTAAGTCAAGGTCATTTTCGTTCTCAAACTTTGTTGGGCTCCTACCAACAAAGCTTTCAGCCAAATATCATGACTCTAGGCCTATCCGTTCTTCAGAAGAAGTTGTTTAAAGGAAAAGTTGACAGACGAGGACGGACGGACGGATGGACGGACGGACGACGGACGACGGACGATGGACCATGACATAAGCTCACTTGCCCTTCGGGCAGGTGAGCTAACAACGACACTATCTACATTAAATTTTGGCAGTAGTGACATCATATAAAACTACCAAAATCAGTCTGCAGTTCCGAGGCTATGAGTTTGGTGTAGTGATATGGATATGTCATCCCATCATATAGTAACTTACAATCTGACCAATATAACTAAGAAGGGGGACTTATAATGTATGTTCTCTAATCATCATTTGTATCTATATCACAATGAAAGACCACTAGGGGTCTGAACAAAACGATTGACCCCTCATGATGATCTGCTAGAGACCTTAGCCCAATGGCTGACGACTCACCTACTAGGGGTCTGGAAACAGGAATGTAGTCCTACAAGGAATGGGTAATTTGTTGCCGTCTCAAACACATGTTTCTCCGTCTGGACCCAGTCAATATCCTGTAACATATACATGGTAAAGTAGAAAGTGCTCCACTAATTCATAGAACAGTAGTTGATAATCAGGTAAACAGGAGCCGGGCTAGCTAGCTTCTATTACATGATTTATGATAGAGAAGGCAGGTCAAGGGTAAAGTGATGTGGTAGTGTGATGTAGGTAAATACTATACACATGTACCGGGACATTACTTTATAAATGTTCGCTGAAATGATAAATTTGCCATCGTGCAGAGGTCAAAAAAGGTGAAAACTAAACTGCAGTGTAAATTTCGTGATTTACACGATATAACTAAGGGTAAAATAGGCAGGTGCTCTCATTTCAGAGGTCAAAAAGGGCAAAACTTACAACTGCAGCGAAAATTTCACGCTATACAGTATAGTAAAAGTAATATAGGCCGGGGTTAGGATAAAGTAGGCAAGCATACTGCAAAGTCGGCTAGTACAGGACAAAATGTGTGGGCTCCTTCCTAACGAGTATTCTATCCGAGAACATGGCAAATATCCAAAAGCTGTATGCACTCAATTAAAATTCCCACAGACCACTAAAACAGCAATAGCTTAGTAGTGTGTGTATTCATAACAACATCTTCATACAAACGTTTTACAGTGTTCTTTAATTAAATCAGAATAATTGACAGATTAAACAAATTTTTCACAGGATAAATAGAAAAAGAAATGATCAAAGACTAATTTGTTAAAGAAGTAGCCATGCAAATACAGACATCAAATCAGTGTGGTATATATTAACTGTAAATGAGTCCGAAAAGAACATTATAAAACATTTTATAGAAATACTTCTGAAGTGATTCTGAATATATAATCTAAACATCATTACAAGAGGCCCAGAGGGTCTGTATCGCTCACCTGGATACCAAAGCAATCAGGGCAAAATATTCTTCGAATGAGATCAAGGGAATATGCCAGACCCCAAGGCCAACCCTTGTAGCATATCTGTATTAGATTCTTCATGCCCAGCAATTTTATGTATGGTTATGGGGTGGGGATCTCAACTGTTTCCAAGCTTTGACTCAGAAACTAGGTCCCTAGGGTTGTGGCCAGACCCCAGGATCAATTCTAATATCGTGACTGCATTTGTCTCTTTTTGCCCAGCATTTGTATATATAGTTTTGGAGTGGGGATCTCAACCATTTCCAAGTTATGACCCAGGGGTTAAGTCTGCAAGGGTGGGGCAGACCCTGGGGTCAATTCTAATATCATGACTGCATTCGTCTTTTTATGCCCAACAATTGTATATATAGTTTTTGGGTGGGGATCTAAACCATTTCGAAGTTATGACCCAGGGGTTAAGTCTCCAAGGGTGGGGCAGTCCCCAAGGCCATCCTGGAAGCATATGTGCAATCATCTCTTTATACTCAGCAATTGTATACAATGGTTATATGGTGGGGATCTCAACCATTTCCAAGTAATACACTGTTTTTGGCCCCACCCCTTAGCCCGGGGGGTCAGCCCCACCATTTGTACAATTTTGAATCCCTGCCACCCATGAATGCTTCCGACAAAATATGATCAATGTCCATGGCATAGTTCTACAGTAGAAGTCTTTTATAGCAATATAGCCAAATTGACCCCTTTTTGGCCCCGCCCTCAGCCCCCTGGGGGCTCAGCCCCACCATTTGTACAATTTTGAATCCCTGACACCTAGGGATGCTTCCAGTCAAATATGGTTAATATCCGCCTTTTAGTTCCAGAAAAGAAGTCGCTTAAAGCAATATTGCAAAACTGACCCCTTTTTGCCCAGCCTCTCAGCCCCCTGGGGGGTCAGCTCCATCATTTGTACAATTTTGAATCCCTGACACCTAGGGATGCTTCCAGTCAAATTAAGTTGAATTCCAATCAGTGGTTAAGAAGAAGAAGTTGTTTAAAGAAATTGTTGACGTACGGACGGACGACGGACGCAACGGTATGGCATAAGCTCACCTTGGTCCACCTAATAATACAGTGGTTCTGTTAATTTGACCAGCTTCCTTACACAAACCTTATGATAGTGTTGTAGTGATTGCCAAATATTCTGATTACTCCTCATTCATCAAATCAGTAAAGAGGATATTTATTAGTCTATGATCACCTAACAAGTTTTCCATCTATATGAAAAGACAAGCAGTATCGATACAAGTTCATTTTCAGTATATGAACATTGTTGTTCAATAGGGTGTTGTAATATAACATGCTCATGATCTGGCCTGAACTACCAGATTTTCATTATAATAATGTTAAATAATGCTTTAAAATAAACTGTCTTCATGCTCAAATATGGTAGCAAATATGTTTTATAATGAATTATACTTTGTATTTACCTGCCGATGGAGGCAAAGCTAGTGAGAAATTATTCAAGGTGATTATGAATTATCATTTATTTACATGTGTCAAACAATATCTTATTATTGTCTTCAATATAAACTTGCTTTTCACAGGATGCCAACATGTTCATAACATTAATTGGTAAAAAAAATTATCTAAATTTACTCTTGTCTAAAGATTTCAAACAATGTGTAATCCGATTTTTACGAACCATTCATTGATGTAATTTTGCATGCCCAGTAGTAGCCAGCCAGTGTATATTTTAGTCCTTTTAGATCTCAAGTTGTTCTGTGTAATAATATCTTTAGATCCAAGAAATATCATATAACTGTAACCACCGCAATCCTTACCTCATCATCATTAACCAACTCTTTTTTTATGACCTTCATGGCGTAGATGCGTTTCGTACGTTTCTGTTCCACCATCAAGACCTTTGCATAACTGCCACGGCCTATCACGCGCAACATGTTAAACTCGTCCATAGAAACGGTCCTGTTTCCTGTGCCTGAGCCCATCTGTAACCAAGACAACACAGTATGTTACCATGGCAACATCAAATACTAATTAAGACATCAATGACATGTTCTTCTTAGTCGAAAGAATATATTACTACTATGTATTTTCTACTTCCTTTTCTGTATTCATTAAAATACAAAAGACACGATATATATGAGGCATCCTCAATGCTTTAAAATATGTTTCAAAATCCATTCTGTATGGTAAACAAGCTGTATAGGAAGCAAGAAGATGCAGAATTTCCCTGTGCTATAATCTTAATAATACTGTTATACATTTGTACATTTTACCTTTTTTATCAAACAAGTAATATTGGCCAAACCTCTATTTCTCTTGGAGAGATATCCTTTTTTACAGGTGATAAGTGCATGCCTTGTAATAAGCCCATCCCTTCATAGGGTGGATACAGCAAACTTCCCTTTATCTCACTTTTTATCAAATTCAATGATTCATAACAAGGTATATGACATCTGTGATAACAGATGTTCCGTTTAAAATACTCTTGAATGAAATGAATGGTAAGTACATATATACAGTATCATGAAAGCAGAAAAGTTTAAGCCCTGAACTTGTACTATGAATATATCAATACCTTTTTAGTAATGAAATCAAGGTAAGAGCTAAAAGATGCTGCAATGACTTCAAAAAATAAAAGAAATTGTGACAGTTAAAACTCCAAATGTTAATAATATTTTGATTATTAAAAAGTACCTTTTCCACTTGAACAATGATTTGAGCTACAGAATATGCATTTGAGCAAAGAATGCTTTTGTTCATACAGGCCAAGGACGTTTTTTGTTTAGAATTGTTTTTTACTCATCCAAATTACATATTTATAAGTTATCTTGCTACCTCTCACTGTCAACTAATTAAATACTTTATATTGATGATAGGTCTAACTGAAATAGATCTGTTTATAACTTTTAAATTTGTTTCAGATGATATAAGTTTTTTCCTGCAATAAAATCATGCTGTCTTCACTTTCACAACGCAGTAATGCTACAATATACCAGGTAAGATATTAGTGAAGCTGGTAAGTATACATAGATATTAGAATTACAGTCAAAGTGTACCTACCCCTGACTGATCATCAGACTGTTAGTATCCATGGTAACCAGGTACAACAGAGGCAGACAACAGGTGTTAGTACAACAAACAAGCATGAGAAAAATACACAGCATATATCATACAAAGCAGATGTCAGTATTGAATGACACATACAAAATACAGTACACTCCGTCTAAACCAGACTCATCCCCGATACTCCAGGGGTTACACCCACTTACGCTTTCTGCACTCCTCGATATATCAAAGCAAAATTGAAGGCTCAGTGTGCGCCACCTTGTGGATGAGAGGAAGAGTAGTTCAATCCTTTCGGGTACATCGAAATAATCTGGCGGTCATGTAACAGTAAAAATTGTACTATAAAAATTGACTGACTTTGAAGTTGGGCGTCGCTCCTTTGTAATTTTCAAAGGACATGTATCAGCCTTGCAATTGGTCAGGTTTTTATACCCGAGACCAATTAAAAAGCTGGCTTTGTGCCTTAAATTTTGCCATGACATATTCCAGGGGTGCAGAGAGCGAAAGTGGGCATAAACCCTGGAGTATTGAGGATGAACCACACTGTGTCGAATCCAGACATCTTTCTAAACTATACAAAGAACTTGGTTCCAGCAATGATAAGGTATATCTATAGTAGCTTCGTGACAATCAGGAACTCTCTGCACATTTGCCAGGTTAACTTGGCATGTGGTCCCAGGGGTGTCAGGTTTAGACAGGTTAACTTGGCATGTGGTCCCAGGGGTGTCAGGTTTAGACAGGTTAACTTGGCATGTGGTCCCAGGGGTGTCCTGTTAGACAGGTTAACTTGGCATGTGGTCCCAGGGGTGTCAGGTTTAGACAGGTTAACTTGGCATGTGGTCCCAGGGGTGTCAGGTTTAGACAGGTTTACTTTGCATGAGGTCCCAGGGGTGTCCGGTTAGACAGGTTAACTTGGCATGTGGTCCCAGGGGTGTCCGGTTTAGACAGAGTATACAGTATGTCATATAGAAAGATTGTTCAATATCACAACACAGGTCATATAAATGTTATACCACAATATCAACATTTTATATACAACATTCCACATCAATTGAAACCATGATATTGAACAAAACATGACATTAAAGACAATGTTTTCTAGATATTTCTCAGCCATCAAATTCCCAAATAATTGCCTTCTAGATTTTAAGTCTGACTACAGTAAGAGTATATTTTTAGCGGTAGTCTAATTGTAGCCCTTTTTGTGTTACACATTTTGTGCTATACATGTATTATGAATGTATTAATTGAAGTTCCTCAGTAATGTTCTCTATTGCATATTTTAGGTGTGCCAATTCATCAATTTGCTAATCTGTTAAACTATTTGACAATGAGCTTAAATCTGAGTGCGCTTATATAAGTATATTATCTTGACTGAGAGTTGCAGCAACTTGGGATTCAATACGAGTTACCAGGCATGGTTCCTGGTCAATCATACATAATATTAACCACATGTACATTTATCAATTCTTGATCATATATCTAGAAACTGTCACATAGATTCTGTCAGGAAGGTTTATATTTTTTTCTCAAAACACAACAATGTAAGTGGTAGCACTAATCCTTTTGGGTGAGCCAGAACTTTTTCTATGCCATGGCTAGAGAGAATGTTCAATATTTACTATAAATTATAGGTTTGGCTAAAATAATTTTTCAAAATCTGCCTGCAGGTAATTAGTACTATTAACATGATGTCAGTTACTCCCGTGGTTTAATTGTATGAAGAGATATTAGTTAAAAGTTTGATTTTCCACATTTCAAGATTTAGCAGATGATATATAATTTGGTTAAAATTTGGTTAAAACTTTTGAGATTTATATCTGTATATATGTACAGTATAATACAAAATGTCTGCCGCAGTTTCATTTTTTGCCCTTTAACAACAGGGTAAATTCAACACCAGGCAAAAAGGATTATATATCATATAGTTATAAGCAGTACCAACTTAACATGTACACATTTAACAAAAAGTTAACTTGTTTAAAAAAGCCATTCGGCAAAAATATGTCCGGGTGAAAGTATCATGGTTAAATGTATACTATTAATACATCCAGGTGAAAGTATCATGGTTAAATGTATACTATTAAAACATCCAGGTGAAAGTATCATGGTTAAATGTATACTATTAATACATCCAGGTGAAAGTATCATAGTTAAATGTATACTTTTAATACATCCAGGTGAAAGTATCATAGTTAAATGTATACTTTTGTTACGAGTCTGACTATGAAAATGATACATATGTTCGTCTTAATACAACACTTGGTTATCATACCCATACATACATTAACATCATGATGTTTGCCACCTTTATTCTGTTTTTGCTAATTGAAACATAAATGTATAAAGTTACTGCAGTAAAACCTCCAAATGTTATTTGTAGTCTTTTTATATAAGTATCCCTATTACTAGTCTATAATAGCAGTACAGTTAAAAAATGGTTTTCAGAATCAAAAGCATAGTCATTAAACCAAAGGGAAGTAACTCTTCATCCCTTAAATTTCATATTCCAACCTTTGAATTGGAAGAGTTCACATGTGTTGTCAGGGATAAATGAGTTGAACACAATAATATATTATTATTCTTATATATTCATTGTCGATAATTTGAAAGCAAAGATTTGGCTTGAGTGAGAAGTTATCAATTAATTACTGAATGAAATAAAATTGAAGTATAATGGAAAATGCATAACAGACTTCCACTAAATACATTTGATCTTCTAAGATTAAGTAAAAAAATATATTGTATAAACATTTAAAAGTTCAAGAAGATACCAGAGACATATAGGGTCCATTCAAGGTAGGATTTTCTTATTCAATTCAACTAGACAGCTTATGTAGACTTTGATGTATAGTATGATATTTTTTCTTGATCTGAGAAATTTAAGGAAAGGAATTATGAATATCCTAGAGCAGAAAAACACTTTCTTGTTAAAAATACAAATCATTAAACACCTTCAGTGGAAAACCTAATAAAGCAATATTATTGTCTAACCATAAATATGTCTGATCTAGAGAACACATCCTAGGTCAGGTCACATTTAACAGGATAATACCTACTACAACTGGCTATATCATAACACATCCTAGGTCAGGTCACATTTAACAGAATAATACCTACTACCACTGGCTATATCATAACACATCCTTGGTCAGGTCACATTTAACAGGATAATACATACTACCACTGGCTATATCATAACAAATCCTAGGTCAGGCAACATTTAACAGGATAATACCTACTACCACTGGCTATATCATAACACATCCTAGGTCAGGGCACATTTAACAGGATACTACCTACTACCACTGGCTATATCATAACACATCCTAGGTCAGGGCACATTTAACAGTATAATACCTACTACCACTGGCTATATCATAACAAATCCTAGGTCAGGTAGCATTTAACAGGATAATACCTACTACCACTGGCTATATCATAACAGATCCTAGGTCATGTCACATTTAACAGTATAATACCTACTACCACTGACTATATCATAACACATCCTAGGTCAGGTCACATTTAGCAGTATAATACCTACTACCACTGGCTATATCATTACAAATCCTAGGTCAGGTCACATTTAACAGTATAATCCCTACTACCACTGGCTATATCGTAACAAATCCTAGGTCAGGTCACATTTAACAGTATAATACCTACTTCTACTGGCTATATCGTACCACATCCTAGGTCAGGTCACATTTAACAGTATAATACCTACTTCTACTGGCTATATCGTACCACATCCTAGGTCAGGTCACATTTAACAGTATAATACCTACTTCTACTGGCTATATCGTACCACATCCTAGGTCAGGTCACATTTAACAGTATAATACCTACTACAACTGGCTATATCATAACACATCCTAGGCCAGGACACATTTAACAGGATAATACCTACTACCACTGGCTATATCATAACAGATCCTAGGTCATGTCACATTTAACAGTATAATACCTACTACCACTGGCTATATCGTAACAAATCCTAGGTCAGGTCACATTTAACAGTATAATCCCTACTACCACTGGCTATATCGTAACAAATCCTAGGTCAGGTCACATTTAACAGTATAATCCCTACTACCACTGGCTATATCGTAACAAATCCTAGGTCAGGTCACATTTAACAGTATAATACCTACTTCTACTGGCTATATCGTACCACATCCTAGGTCAGGTCACATTTAACAGTATAATACCTACTTCTACTGGCTATATCGTACCACATCCTAGGTCAGGTCACATTTAACAGTATAATACCTACTTCTACTGGCTATATCGTACCACATCCTAGGTCAGGTCACATTTAACAGTATAATACCTACTTCTACTGGCTATATCGTACCACATCCTAGGTCAGGTCACATTTAACAGTATAATACCTACTTCTACTGGCTATATCGTACCACATCCTAGGTCAGGTCACATTTAACAGTATAATACCTACTACCACTGGTTATATCATAACACATCCTAGGTCAGGTCACATTTAACAGTCTAATACCTACTACCACTGGCTATATCATAACACATCCTAGGTCCGGTCACATTTAACAGGATAATACCTACTACAACTGGCTATATCATAACAAATCCTAGGTCAGGTAACATTTAACATGATAATACCTACTACCACTGGCTATATCATAACAAATCCTAGGTCAGGTAGCATTTAACAGGATAATACCTACTACCACTGGCTATATCATAACAGATCCTAGGTCATGTCACATTTAACAGTATAATACCTACTACCACTGGTTATATCATAACACATCCTAGGTCAGGTCACATTTAACAGTATAATACCTACTTCTACTGGCTATATCGTACCACATCCTAGGTCAGGTCACATTTAACAGTATAATACCTACTTCTACTGGCTATATCGTACCACATCCTAGGTCAGGTCACATTTAACAGTATAATACCTACTACCACTGGTTATATCATAACACATCCTAGGTCAGGTCACATTTAGCAGTATAATACCTACTACCACTGGCTATATCATTACAAATCCTAGGTCAGGTCACATTTAACAGTATAATCCCTACTACCACTGGCTATATCGTAACAAATCCTAGGTCAGGTCACATTTAACAGTATAATACCTACTACCACTGTCTATATCATAACACATCCTAGGTCAGGTCACATTTAGCAGTATAATACCTACTACCACTGGCTATATCATAACAGATCCTAGGTCATGTCACATTTAACAGTATAATACCTACTACCACTGACTATATCATAACACATCCTAGGTCAGGTCACATTTAACAGGATACTACCTACTACCACTGGCTATATCACACCACAAACACAAGTAGCTAATATAATCATTACAAACACACAATAAACCTGCTACACACAAAGAAATGCAGACCATAGGTGGACAGTTTTAATTAAGTTGTATTTACCACTTTAACACAGCTGTTGGTCAATTAACATGGTAAAAAATGTTGTCAAAACAAAATGTTTGAGATATGTCTTACTAAAACTTGAATGAATTTATAATTAGCATACATGAATACATAGGTCGTAAATCAATTTTTTAATCTGTGAAACTTTACATGCGGAACAAAAATAATTTCTCCCTACTTTTTCAGAATTTCAAGTTATGAAATGTCATTTTGAAAAATCATAATTTGTTAACACTAGACTTCATTATCTCTATCCACCTGTGGTGTTTTATCTGTTTGAATTGTGAAAAACACTAAATAAACAACAACTGCAAAACAAATATGTGACCAGTAAACATGCCAATGACGTCATAGGGTGCAGATGATCAAACATCAAACAAAGGGAGACAATCATAAGTCATACTGGATATAAGGGGAGATAATCTGATAATTCTGTACCTCAGGTGAACTAACGGACACCTCCTCCTGTGAGAGTGAAATCTTAAACAAGAAAACCATCAACCATGTTAAACAGGGAGATTTTGATGTGCTGTTTAAGATAAATAAGTAGAAACTATCAGTATATCTGAGGCTGTCTGCAGTTTTCATCTAAATGACTGACTCTAAATTGCTTTTACAAAATTAATCAATAACTGATTACATGTCAATTGATAATAATCCTTTGGCTTTAAATTCTTTAATTAAATCTTCTTATTTGTTATGTTTTGACAGTGCAATACGTCTTTTTTGATATTGCAATAGACATTTTTGATACATGTAATTACAAAATATTAACTTGTAAAGTCAGACCAATCAAGAATTCCTGATTGAAATTACACATTTACAAATCTTTGGAAAAATTATTTCAAATATTTTATAATTGTACAGAAAACAAATCAAAGATAGGATAATAAGATATTGAACACAGGCATAATGCCGAGAAATTGTCAATCAATTCTGATTTCTAGACATTGGAAAAATGTTCAGACAGCTACAGAGTAGAAATTGCAAATCTGACACCAAATTGATTGCAAGAGAAACACCTTGATTATCTGTGAACACCAGACATTGCAACAGAAAAAGTAGCTAGGATTACAAATTTGCCACCATACAACAATTAATGGACAATTAAAGATCAGACAAACTGTTAAGACTTACCTCCTTATCTACCTCGACAGAGGTCCCGTGGTCTGGAAGTAAAACATCAACAAATGAAAACATCAACAAAATAAAAGTATCAACAGTTAAAACATCACATCTTGTCAGACATATTTTCTGAACTCTAATTCAAACCAGAACTGACCTATCCAGGCATCTTAATAATTCCATTGTACCTAGGCCCCTTTCTCGTATCTGGTTCTTAACAATTACATTGTACCCAGGCCCCTTTCTCGTATCCGGTTTTAACAATTCCATTGTACCCAGGCCCCTTTCTCGTATCCGGTTCTTAACAATTCCATTGTACCCAGGCCCCTTTCTCGTATCCGGTTCTTAATAATTCCATTGTACCTAGGCCCCTTTCTCGTATCTGGTTCTTAATAATTCCATTGTACCTAGGCCCCTTTCTTGTATCTGGTTCTTAACAATTCCATTGTATCTAGGCCCCTTTCTCGTATCCAGTTCTTAACATTTCCATTGTACCTAGGCCCCTTTCTTGTATCCGGTTCTTAATAATTCCATTGTACATAGGCCCCTTCCTCGTATCTGGTTCTTAATAATTCCATTGTACCAAGGCCCCTTTCTCGTATCCAGTTCTTAATAATTCCATTGTTCCTAGGCCCCTTTCTCGTATCTGGTTCTTAACAATTCCATTGTACCAAGGCCCCTTTCTCGTATCCAGTTCTTTATAATTCCATTGTACCTAGGCCCCTTCCTCGTATCTGGTTCTTAATAATTCCATTGTACCTAGGCCCCTTTCTCGTATCCAGTTCTTAATAATTCCATTGTACCTAGACCCCTTCCTCATATCTGGTTCTTACTAATTCCATTGTACCTAGGCCCCTTCCTCGTATCTGGTTCTTAATAATTCCATTGTACCTAGGCCCCTTCCTCGTATCTGGTTCTTAATAATTCCATTGTACCTAGGCCCCTTTCTCATATCCAGTTCTAAATAATTCCATTGTACCTAGGCCCCTTCCTCATATCTGGTTCTTAATAATTCCATTGTACCTAGGTCCCTTTCTCATATCTGGTTCTTAATAATTCCATTGTACCTAGGCCCCTTTCTCATATCCAGTTCTAAATAATTCCATTGTACCTAGGCCCCTTCCTCATATCTGGTTCTTAATAATTCCATTGTACCTAGGTCCCTTTCTCATATCTGGTTCTTAATAATTCCATTGTACCTAGGCCCCTTTCTTGTATCCGGTATTAATAATTCAATTGTACCTAGGCCCCTTTCTCATATCTGGTTCTTAATAATTCTATTGTACCTAGGCCCCTTTCTTGTATCCGGTTCTTAATAATTCCATTGTACCTAGGCCCCTTTCTCATATCTGGTTCTTAATAATTCCATTGTACCTAGACCCCTTTCTTGTATCCGGTTCTTAATAATTCCATTGTACCTAGTCCCTTTCTCATATCTGGTTCTTAATAATTCCATTGTACCTAGGCCCCTTTCTTGTATCCGGTTCTTAATAATTCCAATGTACCTAGGCCCCTTTCTCATATCTGGTTCTTAATAATTCCATTGTACCTAGGCCCCTTTCTCATATCTGGTCCTTAATATTTCCATTGTACCTAGGCCCCTTTCTTGTATCCGATTCTTAATAATTCCATTGTACCTAGGCCCCTTTCTTGTATCTGGTTCTTAATAATTCCATTGTACCTAGGCCCCTTTCTCATATCTGGTTCTTAACAATTCCATTGTACCTAGACCCCTTTCTCGTATCTGGTTCTTAACAATTCCATTGTACCTAGGCCTCTTTCTCGTATCTGGTTCTTAACAATTCCATTGTACATAGGCCCCTTTCTCGTATCTGGTTCTTAACAGTTCCATTGTACCTAGGCCCCTTTCTTGTGTCCGGTTCATAATAATTCCATTGTACCTAGGCCCATTTCTCATATCTGGTTCTTAATAACTCCATTGTTCCTAGGCCCCTTTCTCGTATCCGGTTCTTAACTAGGCCCCTTTCTCGTATCTGGTTCTTAACAGTTCCATTGTACCTAGGCCCCTTTCTTGTGTCCGGTTCTTAATAATTCCATTGTACGTAGGCCCCTTTCTCGTATCTGGTTCTTAATAATTCCATTGTTCCTAGGCCCCTTTCTTGTATCCGATTCTTAATAATTCCATTGTACCTAGACCCCTTTCTTGTATCTGGTTCTTAACAATTCCATTGTCCCTAGGCCCCTTTCTCGTATCTGGTCCTTAACAATTCCATTGTACCTAGGCCCCTTTCTCGTATCTGGTTCTTAATAATTCCATTGTACCTAGGCCCCTTTCTTGTGTCCGGTTCTTAATAATTCCATTGTACCTAGGCCCCTTTCTCATATCTGGTTCTTAATAACTCCATTGTACCTAGGCCCCTTTCTCGTATCCGGTTCTTAATAATTCCATTGTACCTAGGCCCCTTTCTCGTATCCGGTTCAACCGGTTTATCTGTTATTAAATGTAAATTTTTCAGGTATAAATCCTGGCAGACCAACCTTATTTCATAAATAAACAACTTTAGTCCAATCGGTTCAACCGCTTGGATCCCGATAAACAAATGCTACCCTAGTTCATTAAGTTTTAAACACTGTTTTCATAGTCCCATGAATGTTTGATTACGGAAGAATACATTTTAAGGAAAATAGTTGGTTTCTATCGGCTGTTTTTCTGAGATATATGGAAACATTGACGAAATGGTGGGTGAGTCATTGGTTTGTCATTGTTGACATTTGACAACATGTGATCAATGTTACAAGAATACACAAAACAATACGAGCTCATACAACTGAGATTGTGGAAGGATACATTAATTATTGTTCAGTTCATACTGTAGATTGTCCAAAATTACAAAAATAGTTGACAGAAATGTGTTTACCTATGGACACAACATATAGTGGTATTTTAGTGGTATAACATGTTACATCACTATTATATACGTCAATGTTTATAATGTAGTGTCAGTGTTGGTTGCTGAGTTTACCCTTCGAGATCTCCAAACAGTATTTAGTTTCAAGTCCATTTAAAAATTCCCAAGAAGTCATTGAGAATATTCAGATAAAAAATCCCAAGAAGTAATTGAGAATATTCATATATGTATGTTGTATATACACATCAAACCCGCAGTAACTGATTGGATCTTACATGTACTTATAATTTAGTCAATGTTTCTTTAAAGCTCATAAAACCTGCAGACAGAAACCAGTTACTTCCTTTATAGTTTTGTTCTAACGGACTCACAGGCCTATAGATACAGTGTCTTAATCAGTCACGGACTCACAGGCCTATAGATATTGTGTCTTAATCAGTCAGGGACTCACAGGCCTATAGATACCGTGTCTTAAACAGTCACGGACTCACAGGCCTATAGATACTGTGTCTTAATCAGTAACGGACTCACAGGCCTATAGATACTGTGTCTTAAACAGTCACGGACTCGCAGGCCTATAGATACCGTGTCTTAATCAGTCACGGACTCACAGGCCTATAGATACAGTGTCTTAATCAGTCACGGACTCACAGGCCTATAGATACAGTGTCTTAATCAGTCACGGACTCACAGGCCTATAGATACCGTGTCTTAATCAGTCACGGACTCACAGGCCTATAGATACCGTGTCTTAATCAGTCACGGACTCACAGGCCTATAGATACCGTGTCTTAATCAGTCACGGACTCACAGGCCTATAGATACCGTGTCTTAATCAGTCACGGACTCACAGGCCTATAGATACCGTGTCTTAATCAGTCACGGACTCACAGGCCTATAGATACCGTGTCTTAATCAGTCACGGACTCACAGGCCTATAGATACCGTGTCTTAATCAGTCACGGACTCACAGGCCTATAGATACCGTGTCTTAATCAGTCACGGACTCACAGGCCTATAGATACCGTGTCTTAATCAGTCACGGACTCACAGGCCTATAGATACCGTGTCTTAATCAGTCACGGACTCACAGGCCTATAGATACCGTGTCTTAATCAGTCACGGACTCACAGGCCTATAGATACCGTGTCTTAATCAGTCACGGACTCACAGGCCTATAGATACCGTGTCTTAATCAGTCACGGACTCACAGGCCTATAGATACCGTGTCTTAATCAGTCACGGACTCACAGGCCTATAGATACCGTGTCTTAATCAGTCACGGACTCACAGGCCTATAGATACCGTGTCTTAATCAGTCACGGACTCACAGGCCTATAGATACCGTGTCTTAATCAGTCACGGACTCACTGGCCTATAGATACCGTGTCTTAATCAGTCACGGACTCACAGGCCTAAAGATACCGTGTCTTAATCAGTAACGGACTCACTGGCCTATAGATACCGTGTCTTAATAAGTCACGGACTCACAGGCCTATAGATACAGTGTCTTAAACAGTCATGGACTCACAGGCCTATAGATACAGTGTCTTAAACAGTCATGGACTCACAGGCCTATAGATACAGTGTCTTAAACAGTCACGGACTCACAGGCCTATAGATACAGTGTCTTAATCAGTCACGGACTCACAGGCCTATAGATACCGTGTCTTAATCAGTCAGTTAGCCCTTACCTGTGGGGTTGTCCCCGTTGGAATGCTTGCTTGGGTACTGGGTTGTATTATAGGTGGGAGGTGGTTCTGGTCGGTGCTCCGATTGTGGCTGTAAACACACAAACATAAACACAATTATTTAGTGTCATATATAGTCATCAACTTTATTAACCACCAATATCTTAATGTTCAAGTTGAGCCCCATTTTTTCCAACAATTATATTTATGATGTGTGCAAAGTCTCAAAGACAACTTCTGAGGAGTCAAACTTGACAGTAGTAAACATATATTTTGTAATTATTTCTAGAAAATTAAACACTTAAAATGTGTGACGGTTTCAATCAACACTCACAAGGAGCGGTGCTCCACAGACCACCTTGAGGAACTTGTGGCATCGCTTATGGACTGTAAGTTTACACTGGATACACTTGTAACCCTGACGACCAAGGCCCCAGATCCTGTCTGAGCAGAATGAGCAAAACGCTTTCTGGAAAAAGAAACACAGATTTGTCACATTTTCATTCAACACTTACCATATTCTCAGTTGTTAGGGATTTTCTATGTATTGTAATGGTGACCAGATTTTCTATGTATTGTAATGGTGACCTTAAAGGGGCCATTTAGTCAATTGATAACCTGAAAATAGAGTTGATACTCAAAATATATATCTCCTTACAAAAGTCTACGTAGTTGATAATGACATGACCTGAAGCCAACGGCCAGTGTGCACAGGATCAGTTTCATCTTTTGGGAAAGCCGTGATAAAAATAGCTATGCCCAAAATAGTGCAATATCCAGGCCTTCAGTGAGAAGCAAACATGTACAGCACTACGCTGTCGTCCGACAACACAGTGTCAGCTATTAGTCTGAGTTCACACATAACACACTAAATATATCCCAAGTAAGAATTAAAAGTATCATAATATATACCTCTAATCATATATTTCTGTTCACATTTGGTTTGAATAAAAACGAACAGGTTCAATTAGAGCATGCACACACTGAGAGGGTGCCGCAGGGAGATTTCAAACTGCAGAAAGTATGATATCAATAGATTTAAAAGTTAAATAGATCACTCATTTATAACGATGTTTGAGATGATGTTGGAAGATGATTTTGATTCAGAATAAATGCATGTACTTGCATTCCAGAGAGGCTGGGCGAGTAAAGCGAGAAGTTACCTTCTCTCCTCGACTGGAAAGACATTTTTGTTAGCTTCAAATTCACCGACAGCTGCTGCTAAAACGCACGACTTTTGCTTTAATTACTTATGACAACAAGGTATGGCTACCTGAAATTTTAACTTTCACCTATGACCTTGACAATTGACCTAAAATTTTATTTTGTCTTTCATCTTTTTTGCATACTAAATTGTTGTAAATGTACCAAGTTTTAAATTCTATATAAATGATTTAAAAAAAAACAATCTTTGGACCATGAAACCTACAAGTGGGTCCTACCAGAAATCATACCCTTCACCAATGACTTTGAATTGTGTATAACCAAAACCGTCAACTGAATCCTACATCACACAAAAGCGACATACATGATTATATCATACAAATCTGCTTTATACAATTATTTCATCCAAATATGTCGTAATTATTTTGCTCAAAATTAAATCTGTCTAGTGTTTATCCTAAGCAGGCGTTTTCTGCTTTGCTACCTTCAGCTAAGACCTGCCCTACAATATTTACTTTGGAGAACCGTTTTGCCTGGAATAGATGGCCGTTGATCCTGTAAAGTTTCCTCCACCGTCGGGCCCCTTTTCTGTACATGTTTCCTGTTAAAATAATAATTCTATTGTAAAGCTTGCTGTTTTTATACTTCACTTGACAACAGACACACCAGGTCCAGTCGTCAAGGGAACTAGGGTGGTGCCAAGAGTCACATCCTAGGCCTCGCCTAATAAGGCTGTGACTTCTACTTACACCAGGTCCAGTCGTCAAGGGAACTAGGGTGGTGCCAAGAGTCGCGTCCTAGGCCTCGCCTAATGAGGCTGTGACTTCTACCTACAGCGCTCATTTATGTTCTGACTGCCATGCCAACTACCAGATTCAGAACGAGATTTTGTACTCATTTACAAAGGCATGATTAAGTACTTCAGCAGTTAATATAATTGGCACCAATAGTTTAAGAGAATTCGTATAAATAGATTAGGAAATGACAATTTAGCAGTGATATAAAATTACCAAACTGTACTGTCTATTGAATGATGTCTTATAAAAATGTTCATCGTCATATAAAATTGCAAGATTAACCCTTTCACCCCTATGTAACTTCAGTAGACTCTACCATGCATTGATCTTTATGAGTCAATTATGGTCTACAGTGGTGAAAGGGTTAAGTCATGTTATGTTATATACCACCATATTGACATAGCGATAAACCCATGCCTAGTATTAAGCCTACCCATATATAACACATTTCAGTAGATACACCAAAAAATGTTGTTTCATTGTTCTGATATAAACCCAACCTCTTACTTGAGTCAGAAATTGCATGTTGGCCCACTGGACTTATAATTAGTGCAGGATAAATACAATAATCTACTTTCAACTTTTACCTCAGGAACATTTTATTGTTGTGTGGGAAGGTATAGGGCTATATTACAATAATAGATGACTCTACAAGGCATTCCATTGGAGCTTTTAATCTACCCCCTAGGAATACCATACTAGGAGCTGTTATTATCCATTTAGCATGGATCTTCTCATGTGCTGTACAGTTTAAACTTCTGGGATCTCCAAGAGATCTTATAACTCACCCTGTACAGTAGGTGTTTTCTAGTTTATTTCACACGGATCTCCTCTGAGAATTATTCAATTTACACTTAAACCTGTTTGTTTTATGTAGAAAAATCAACAAAACTTACGATCCTCCCCTCGACATGGCATCCCAGGTCTCTCTGGCACATTGGGGAAAACTGTGAGAAAAACATAATGTTAAACATAGAATAAAATATGGTAATGAAACCACCTGCCTTTATATATACTGAAATGGTTTTTGTCATAATCAATTTAATTGTTTTTAAGAGTTGTATTATTATTTTTCCCATTGTGCATAAAATGATTTATTCTCTAGTAGCTTGATTCCCTAGAGAAACAACAATATATTCATGTTATATAACCATGTTTAATGGTGTCTAATTCAAAATTTTATCAACAGAATTAAAGTATCTGCTGAAATAGAAAAATGAATGTTTGAGATTTTATAGACAGTTTTGTTGATGTCCTACTACAAGGATAAATGAAGTAAGAGTCCGACACATGTACATGGAGGATGTGAATTTTTTGAATTCTATAGTATTAGTTTCAGTGATCAAAAATATTAAGTAATCAAGTACAGGCTAAGTCTTTTAACTTTATGCCCTTTCTTAGCTGGAATTTGTCCATGTTTGTGTCAGCACTGCTGATGGACAATATGTGTCAGCACTGCTGATGAAAAATATATGTCAGCACTGCTGATGAACAATAGATGTCAACAGTAGGACTGACCATGAATGGTGATCTCAGAGTCCTTGTTGATTTCGTACAACCTGATGGCCTCGTCAAGCTCCAACTGGGAGGATATAGTACATGGGTCACCTGCATCAGAAAAGGATTAGTTTTTTAAAATCCTAAAATTGGGAAGGCAATAAACAGGTGAAATATGTAAACCAATATTTAATTGAGTGTTTGAAAACATTTGAATTTTAAATTTAACTTGTAGCATGGAGAGGGGATACTCTTAACAGAGTCTTAAAACCATTTTGTAGATATTTATCAAATTTCTTATAATTAGTATAGATTGGATATATCTAATATTACATGTACATGTAACAAAATGAAAATTAACATCATTTGAACATAGACATTCAGACACAGAAGTTCAAATAGTCTTACTACCAAACAAATATCATTCTTTTTTTTACCTTCCTCATCCAGCCATTTCACGGTAAACGGCTGTTGGTCATCAAACTTGCAGATGTCCTTTATTTCAGCACAGAAGTCTGCGTAGCTAATCTCAACATTGACACTAGTAATGAGAATATCCCTGTAAAAAAAGCATATCGTTTATTGTTAGTTAATATTAGCTCTGCAATCGGTTAATTAAGTAAATAAGTATCCATGATGACAAATTTTAAAGATAGAGCTATTAAATATTTTAAATTTTATTTCCACACTTCAAAATCACAAAAGGGTCATATGGGTAAATGATTTCAACATCGGGACAAAAGATGACTCTATGGTGAAACACACTTCATCTGGCAATATAACAGACAGATACATCAGATCACATTGGTTCATGTGACAGGTATCATATGCATTACCCATTATATCCAACTTTCATGCGGATGGCATTTTCTTCATCTTTGTCAACGGTCGGCATTTTGCTGATATACAGTATCTGCTATACAAGGTTTCAATCTACTAAAAAAATACAAAAATCTAATGTAGTTGTTTTGTACATATAAGTCAAGAGTATATTATTTTATTAAAATATGCAGATTACTTGACTTAACACTTTTTAGATAGCAAAAATCAGACAATATCAAAGCAGATTTTATTTAATTAATAATACAACAAAGTTTGATAACATATAGATTTTGATAACAAAATTTCTTCATGCTCGATTTTCAACGACACCCTTCCTGGTTCACTACATCTTGAACCAGAATGCAATCTGTTAATGTTGATTAAATCAAAATAATATCGGGAATAATATAGGGAATCGAACCCTGGCTGCCTTGGTGAATTAAAGACACAATTATATCTCTGCCATTATAATAATGTCATTATATAATAATGCATATGTGCCTGGATATTTAGTACTTCTGGGTTAAAAAATATCCTTAAATTTTGTCACGATAAGCCAATTGTATGGTCAGAACAAGTCAACAATAAATAATATTTTCTAAATACGTTTAAAATATATTAAGATATGGATATAGAGGCAGTGTCTGCCTGCATACATTATTTATCCTATTGTAATAATAAACTACAATAAAACTACCTGCTCTTTTGCCTATTGTGATTAAATCTATGACCTGCATTCAGATATCTTTATTATTAATTATCAATAATTAATGTCAAAACAATAAACTCTTGAAAATCAAACTTTTTTCTTCACTATGTACACAGATATCCAAATATATATATTAGTCTTTTGTCTCATTCAAACCCAATTCATTAGGCCCAGTACAGTCTGCCGATTGAGCTATATAGCTATAAAGACTTATATAGCTATATCCACCTATAAATTATAGCTGTATTGAGCTATATTTTCTCAGATTTAAAGTTTCATTAAATTAAGGCAAATTTGCATCAAACAAAAAGGTTTATGGTAATGTTGACTACAAAAAGCATAGTTACATGTTTATTTTCATTTTTCATAAACGTAAAATTTCCAATTTATTTTACATCATTATTTTGTAAAAAGAATACTTCAACTATATTTAATGTCTTTTGTTATCAACCTTATGATACAATCTTCTTTTAAAAGCGACTTTGTTTCGTTTTCCTTAAAAAAGAAAATCACTTGAAAATAGCTCAAAAGACTTTTTTCAGTTAGGTCAATAGAGCTATATAGCTCAATCGACAGAGTGTACTGTACCTGTTCATATAATCCAGAAGTCTGTTATAAACAATAATTATATTTATACATATTAAGTAATAAACTATATATACATTTGTATATCTATTGTGAATGATAATCGTTAATAAGCGGTTCCAATTACTGGCAGCTCCAGTAATGTTAAAAGGGCGTAACTATTGGGAAAAGTTGTTTTAGACATTTTCTAACAACATTTTTCTCATTGAGAAAGCAGAATATATTTCATTCATCATCCTTGTGGTTCTGAAATACTCGATACACAAATACTCATTTAAACCAATGCAACTGATAATTCAAAGTATGGCATCAGAAAAAAATCCATATTAATAAACTGCAGTAGAATCTACTTTCAGGAAATAAAATTTTACAGTTTCTCTACGATATTGGACGTCAATTTTAAAATGACTGCTATTTTTTTGTGGTTTTACGTCAACCTAGAATTTAATCAAGGTTTAGCTAAGTGTCTTACCAACACGTGTGACTTGGTCATAGAACTAGCAATCGCAATAACATTTACCAGGTATAAATTAAGAAAGTGACATCAGGCTGGATATTCAGGCACCTTACTCATACTTGTCGGCCATGTTTACAAAAAACCGGAAGTCACGTGATAGGTAAAATTATAGCCGATCGAGAGTAAAATTTTGCAGCTTTAACACTTCCCTTTGACTTAGCATGAAACAGCGAACTTTTCAAACTAGTTCATAGTATGTCTAAAGTCACAGTTTCCCTATTCACGAGTTTGAATGACTTTTCGATCATCAAGGTGAAATCCTCTCATCTGCCCAAAAATGGAGAAAAATGATCCCAGTGATTTGATTGGTTAATCCTTAAAGGGAATTCCTGCTATGATTTTCGGAATGCTTTTGACGTCTTCATGTCAATCTATAACCGGAACTTGTTATTCTCGTTTCTGAACTCCTCGGGACCGGGTTGAAAGAAGCCATACTCTTTGATCTATCGCTTCCTGGAAGATATTTCATTGAAGAAAAACTAGTTTTAAAATGGTTTGTATCGACATGAACAATGTCTTGAAATGTTGATTGACGCAATTGTTTGTGTTGCTTCTGTATTTGATAAACTATAAGTATGCATATTGTACAAAAACGAGTTAACATGAGTGATTTTGTTTGATGGGAGGTGCCAACGAAACAGTCTTCACCAATGACTGATAAAACGATGTTGTTTATGATTGTATTTTTCGTGTGGAAGCTTATGATAATATCCAAAGCGCTCATATATGTGTATCTTTAAACAAGTACGTTTTTCACGTGTAACACGCACAGCTAGATAACAGATTGCCGAACTGTACTGAGTGGTGTGTATTGGCTATATAGCCCCGTTGTAACTGTAAACACCCAAATATTATTACTGTCTCGGTATGTTGGTGAACCCGATATTTCATTGAAATTATCAAAAAGACAAAACAAAAGACAGACCGACAGAAAATAGTGTCTCATTCCTTGGGATCTGTATCAATAATATGATTAATTTTCATTAAAAAAATGTAGTGGAACTGAACAGGATTGTTTGCTGGCAAGTTTGGATTTTCCAGGTTCTTATTGCGGTCAGGCCTGCATTTTCCCCTTCCTGTTATTTTTGGAGTTTTTAGAGGAACTAGACTTGGTTGTTTGGCAACCAGGGAGCTCAATTGGTCGAGCATTGGTCTAGAGTTTGGAGGCCCCAGGTTTGAATCCTGTTGTGCTTAGCATTTCCTGTTACAAACAAAAAGTTATATGTGAAATAGGTAGACCAGTGAAATAGGAGATACTCTGAATCAGAAAAAAATCTTACGTCAATTCAGGAGGGAAAGGGTCTAGTTGGGAATGTGGTCGAAATCCAGCTAAAACATATAGACATAATAAAACCTGAAGGCCACACGCAATTTACAGACCCGTGTTATTCTTTTGTCTTCTGTTGCTGATAGATGATGTTAAGGGTTTATACAGTGTGATGTATCATAATCAGTCACCAGTAAAAATATGAAGCAACAGTGTGATGCACCAAATAGAAAAAGGAATTTACCTCCATATTAGATACAAGGTCTCAGGTTTTATAAGGCCTCACTGTGCCACTTTAAGTGTTAATAGTAGGATGCACTGTAGTCAAGTGTTGGGACGCCATACTCGTGACCGAAGGGTGGCGAGTTCGAGTCACGTCACGGCACTGTGCTGTATCTTTGAGCAAGATACTTTACTCTGCATATTGCAATCTACTCAGCTGTAAATGAGTATGTGGTTGGGCAGTGCTAGAATTGTTGAATGCTAGCTGTGAGCGCCGAAATGGCAGCACCGGCTGTATGCTCCCCAGGGAGTTGAGAAAGATGTTAGCTTGTTGCGAAAGATAATACTTTGTGAACCGCTTTGAGACAACCTACAAACTAGGTTGTGATAAAGTGGTATATAAAAACCTCAAATTATTACTACAGTTTATCTTGCATATATATGTACAATGACGAAACAAAATTGGGAATATTCCAGCTGGATATGCAGTAAAAAAAAATAACAATATCCCAACAGGTGTCCTAATGTAATAAAGAGCCTAACAATAATCGATTCAAACTGATAAACCGTAGTTTCATTGTACCATGGCGAGTCTGTGTTTTGGCACTTTGTCATTGTCAATAAATTGCCATCCATCAATTCATCTGTCGTTTGTCAACTTTTGCATTAAATAACATCCAAAACTACTTATTTCAATTCAACCAAATGTAGGTTTTAGCATCATTAAAGGCTATGGGTGATAAAAAATGTAATGTGTACACATAATATTTCTTGGGACTGATGGGCTGGGTCAATTTGGAAGAATTGCTTCAAATTGCAACACCTGAACTGCTGGGCAGGTTTCAACGAAATAGTAACCTTTGTCCTTGAGGATCAAACTTTCACAAAAGGGCTGACCCTCCTGCGGGCTAAAGGAAAGGGTTAAAAGGGGTCATATTGACAGATTTGTTTAAAACCTTGTCAGTAGGGTTGTATTCGTTTTCAGATGGAAGCAGTAAATGAGCTTTTAATGGGTCATCTTAATCAAATTATTTATTAAAGTATAATAATATAAACACATCACAGTTGCTGACAGTGAAAAAACACATTTGTAAAAAAAAACATACAATTTCTCAGGAATTACTGTTAATTTCGAAGATCAACATACTGTAGAAATCTAATAGGTTCTGTCTTCTTAAAGAGTTTACAATGTGAGCCCATTTAACTAAGGACAAGGAAGTTGTAGATATATAACTACACTGTTGTTGTGTTATGTTGGTGTGTGATTAGTACCTCTCGTGTACAGTATAGTTCCTTTCCTTCCTCATGCTGCTGTGATATTACTGTTATAATATATATAGTTAGTTGTACTTAACTTTTACAAACTAGATTATTCAGTAATAGCATTAGAGTCATAATCAATCATTGTCGTTGGCACTCTATTCTCATTTATAAAATTTATGGTGAATCAAAAGTTAAAAAAAATCACCTAAAACTTGAAATACAGTACCAGGTCCATGTTTTAAAATTACCCAGTACATGCCTAAAATTCATACAATGTACAATTAGAGATTTAACCTTTGATAATAATAATAGACTTTATTTAAATTTGATAACACATTGAGTCAATGACTCGTCTCACATGTGGTCGACATAAAATGTACAATATTTACAACATGGATATGACATACACGTACATAAATAAGAAATTAAGTAACATATCACAGGTAATAAAACATTGTATTATCTTTAAAACAAAAAACAAAAAAAAGAAAACAACACACTCTTGCATCCTGTATCCAATAACAAAATTACGTAAAACATATCACAGATATATTGGTATGTGATATCACACAGGCTTACAATAAAATATGTCACACGTGTATTGGAAAATAAAAAGTTGGCTAACCCATTGATGTGAGGGTTACTTTAATCATTTTTGTAGTTTGTAGTTCAGTATGTTGCAATCAACAGAAACAGGCCATGTATAATTTCAGTGTAAGCAAGTACATAGTTTTTGCATTCATTGACTCGGCGCTCGTTTATAATTACTTAAAAGAATTGTTAACATCCCTATTGGCTAAAATTATTGAAAGAAAAGGAAAACTTATCTAGATTTAATATGACAGAACTGTCCTAGGCAGTAATCATGTTGACAGTGGCGTTCCTTATAAGGCTTCATTTATCTTTTGACAATAATTGTAGGCTTTGCATTTTGAATTTTTTATTTAAAAATCGGTGTCTCCATTTACAGACAGATCAACAGCTTGATTGTGCGTTGGATTTGATGAGGCGTTTGCCTCCCCAACAGATAGAGAAAAACTTAACAGACCTCATTGACTTGGTAAGTATATATATAGCAGTATTTTTGGTGAAGGTTGTGTTGCTTTTGTAGTGAAACTGCATGAGTGCCACATTTTTCAACACTGGAGACATATAAAGATTATGTAGAACCATTGAGCTTTTTGATATACATTGTAAAGGTATTACACTATTTCACTGTGACAAGTTTGAGCATGATGATACAATGTATTTTACTGTACCAGTACATATGTAGTGTATGGTGTATTATTGCTGTCTCTAGGAGTTCTGTATTAAATGATTCATACTTTACACATTTTCAACTGTTTTATGTGAATGATTCGAGACAAAATAAAAAGATACATATAAGTATGCATTACACATACAAATGTAACCAAAATATATTTACTGACAGGTTTAATATGAAAAACTTAATCCAGAAACAGTAAGACTGATATGCTTTTTAAAATAATCTTAGCAATTCTGCAGATAATGCCAATCAAATTGGATATTAACCAGCAAAGTTGTGTTTAATATATGAAGACAAAAGCAAAAAGGTTATATCTGTTATTTTTAATTAATACAGTTCTATGCTTGCAAATTTTAGTGAAACATTAATTTATTATGAGAAAAATGTATTTCCTTGTTGCATCTGTTCATAGGTACCTAGTCTATGTGAAGACCTACTCTCCTCCGTGGACCAACCCCTGAAGATTGCTAGAGACAAAACGGTGGGCAAAGACTACCTCTTGTGTGATTATAACAGAGACGGAGACTCGTACAGGTAAACATAATATATTTGTACAGGTGAACGTAATATATTTGTACAGGTAAACATAAAATATTTGTACAGGTGAACATAATATATTTGTACAGGTGAATGTAATATATTTGTACAGGTGATTGTAATATATTTGTACATGTCAACGTAATATATTTGTACAGGTGAACGTAATATATTTGTACAGGTGACCGTAATATATTTGTACAGGTGAAAGTAATATATTTGGACAGGTAAATGTAATATATTTGTACAGGTGAACGTAATATATTTGTACAGGTCAATGTAATATATTTGTACAAGTGAACGTAATATATTTGTACAGGTAAACGTAATATATTTGTACAGGTGAACGTAATTTATTTGTACAGGTAAACGTAATTTATTTGTACAGGTAAATGTAATATTCTTGTACAGTACAGGTAAACATAATATACTTGTACATGTATGTTAACATGATATACATGTACTTGTACAGTAAACATAATATATTTGCACAGGTAAATGTAATATACTTGTCCAGGCAAAGATAAGAGACTTGTACAGTTTGCTGTACACTTTTACATCATATAATAAACTTGTACACAAGTAATTCACTGTAGTATGGGTTAAACAGTATACCTTTGTGCAGTTGTTCCACTCTATTTGTCTTTCGGTTTTGTACACAGTAAAGCAACTGAAGACAGTACAATACAGGGTACTGTTTTACCATGCACTAGTGAGAATTTGTAGTTCAAAAAAAAAGGTTCTAAGACGGTGTTGGACAAACCCATTTGAGGGATGGTATCTTACTGTCCTCAGTAGGGAAACCACTGCTGCTGAAGTGAATGTTTCCATTGTTTGAGAAGCCTCAAGTTCTCGTTTAAATCTTTTACCAAATACATCAATACCAAACCAAAAACCCCACCTTTCATTGACCTTGCAACACTTTTGCAGGTAAAACACTCATACAAGTAATACACATATACAGGTAATAAACTTGTACCTGTAATACACTCATACAAGTAATACACTTATATAGGTGATAAACTTGTACCTGTAATACACTTATACAGGTAATAAACTTGTACCTGTAATACACTCATACAAGTAATATACTCATACAGGTACATAGTACACTTGTACGTGTAATACACTCATACAAGTAATACTCTTATACAGGTAATAAACTTGAACCTGTAATACACTCATACAAGTAATAAACTTATACAGGTGATAAACTTGTACCTGTAATACACTCATACAAGTAATACATTCATACAGGTACATAGTACACTTGTACATGTAATACACTCATACAAGTAATACACTTATACAGGTAATAAACTTGAACGTGTAATACACTCATACAAGTAATACACCCATGCAGGTACATAGTACACTTGTACGTGTAATACACTCATACAAGTAATAAACTTATACAAGTACATATTACACTTGTACGTGTAATACACTCATACAAGTAATATACTTATACAGGTAATAAACTTGTACCTGTAATACACTCATACAAGTAATACACTCATGCAGGTACATAGTACACTTGTACGTGTAATACACTCATACAAGTAATACACTTATACAAGTAATAAACTTGTACATGTAATACACTCATACAAGTAATACATTTGTAAAAGTAATACACTCATACAAGTAATACATTTGTACAAGTTATACATTTATACAGGTAGTAAACTTGTACAGGTTATACCCTCATACATGTAATACATTTATACAGATACATAGTATGCTTGTACATGCAATACACTCATTCAAGTAATTCATTTATACAGGTAGTAAACTTATACATGTGATACACTTGTACAGGTAGTACACTTGTACAGGTAGTACACTTGTACAGATAGTACACTTGTACAGGTAATACACTTGCACAGGTAGTACACTTGTACATGTAATACACTTGTACAGGTAGTACACTTGTACATGTAGTACACTTTAACAGGAAATACACTTGTACAGGTAGTACACTTGCACAGGTAGTACACTTGCACAGGTAGTACACTTGCACAGGTAGGACACTTGTACAGGTAGTACACTTGTACATGTAGTACATGTAGTACAGGTAGTACACTTGTACATTTGGGACATTTAGTACAGGTACATTGTGGTACACTTGTACAGGAAGTACACTTGTACATGTCGTACACTTGTACAGGTAGTACACTTGTTCATGTAGTAAACGTGTACAGGTAGTACACTTGTACAGGTAGTACACGTGTACAGGTAATACACTTGCACAGGTAGTACACTTGTACATGTAGTACACTTGTACAGGTAGAACACTTTTACAGATAGTACATGTAGTACAGGTAGTACACAGTACACTTGTACAGATAGTACACTTGTACAGGTAATACACTTGCACCGGTAGTACACTTGTACATGTAATACACTTGTACAGGTAGTACACTTGTACATGTAGTACACTTTAACAGGAAATACACTTGTACAGGTAGTACACTTGCACAGGTAGTACACTTGCACAGGTAGTACACTTTTACAGGCAGTACACTTGCACAGGTAGTACATTTGTACAGGTAGTACACTTATACAGGTAGTACATGTAGTACATGTAGTACACTTGTACAGTTGGTACATGTAGTACAGGTCCATTGTGGTACACTTGTACAGGTAGTACACTTGTACATGTCGTACACTTGTACAGGTAGTACACTTGTTCATGTAGTAAACGTGTACAGGTAGTACACTTGTACAGGTAGTACATGTAGTACATGTAATACACTTGTACATGTAGTACACTTGTCCAGGTAGTACACTTTTACAGATAGTACATGTAGTACAGGTAGTACACAGTACACTTGTACAGATAGTACACTTGTACAGGTAATACACTTGCACAGGTAGTACACTTGTACATGTAATACACTTGTACAGGTAGTACACTTGCACAGGTAGTACACTTTTACAGGTAGTACACTTGCACAGGTAGTACATTTGTACAGGTAGTACACTTATACAGGTAGTACATGTAGTACATGTAGTACACTTGTACAGTTGGTACATGTAGTACAGGTCCATTGTGGTACACTTGTACAGGTAGTACACTTGTACATGTCGTACACTTGTACAGGTAGTACACTTGTTCATGTAGTACACTTTAACAGATAGTACACTTGTACAGGTAGTACATGTAGTACAGGTAGGACACTTGTATAGTTGGTACATGTAGTACAGGTACATTGTGGTACACTTGTACAGGAAGTACACTTGTACATGTCGTACACTTGTACAGGTAGTACACTTGTTCATGTAGTACACTTTAACAGATAGTACACTTGTACAGGTAGTACATGTAGTACAGGTAGGACACTTGTATAGTTGGTACATGTAGTACAGGTACATTGTGGTACACTTGTACAGGAAGTACACTTGTACATGTCGTACACTTGTACAGGTAGTACACTTGTTCATGTAGTAAACGTGTACAGGTAGTACACTTGTACAGGTAGTACACTTTAACAGGTAATACACTTGTACAGGTAGTACACTTGCACAGGTAGTACACTTGTACAGGTAGTACACTTGTACATGTAGTACATGTAGTACAGGTAGTACACTTGTACAGTTGGTACATGTAGTACAGGTACATTGTGGTACACTTGTACAGGTAGTACACTTGTACATGTCGTACACTTGTACAGGTAGTACACTTGTTCATGTAGTAAACGTGTACAGGTAGTACACTTGTACAGGTAGTACACTTTAACAGGTAATACACTTGTACAGGTAGTACACTTGCACAGGTAGTACACTTGTACATGTAATACACTTGTACAGGTAGTACACATGTACAAGTATAGTATTGTATATAAATTGTTTATTGAATGTTGGTTATATATATACTATGCATAGTAAGCTCACCTATATGAGAAATGGCTGCTTATGTACTCATTTGGACACCACTTTGAAACTATGTGTTCTATTTTAGGTCTCCGTGGAGTAACACTTATGACCCTCCCCTTCAGGATGGAACCATGCCATCAGACAAATTACGGAAACTAGAAGTGGACGCCAATAACGCATTTGACCAATACAGAGAAATGTAGGGCCCATAAGAACAGTTGTCAGACTTTTTACCATATTAGGAAGAAAGAAAAAATTAAAGCTTCATGATTCACAAGATGGTCCTTTTTAGTCAGCAACACCAACATTTGTTATCTATTTAAATAATCTCCTGACAATAAAATCTAATGTAGTAATGGAGTATGGAACAAGTGGTTCTGATGACTTTTATATGTGACAGCTGTTTGAATATGTCATTCACACATGTGCTTAGTAAATTCATAAATCAAGTTATTACATCTTTTAATTCACTGAAATTACAAGATAATTTCTGTTAGATTTTGTTGAAATATATTGGCTTTTCATTTTGTTGATGTACTAAAAATAAATGTTTATGCCACTCATTTAAGTCATACAAAATGGAAAATAGGTGCAAGTTTAAAAAAAAAAGATTTCTTTGAGAAAGAAGTGTAAGCTAAATTTTATTGCAGATGTATGGAAGTAAAAATTATCTAGCATCAAGCTGTTTATGGTACATTCCATTGACAGGTATTTTGAGGGCGGAGTGTCCTCTGTCTACCTGTGGGACCTTGATCACGGATTTGCTGGTGCTATACTCATAAAGAAGGCTGGTGATGGGTCCAAAAACATAAAAGGCTGCTGGGACTCGCTACATGTGATAGAGGTCCAGGTAAGATACTGACATGATTGAGGTCCAGGTAAGACACTGACATGATTGAGGTTCAGGTAAGATACTGACATGATTGAGGTCCAGGTAAGATACTGACATGATTGAGGTTCAGGTAAGACACTGACATGATTGAGGTCCAGGTAAGATACTGACATGATTGAGGTCCAGGTAAGACACTGACATGATTGAGGTTCAGGTAAGATACTGACATGATTGAGGTCCAGGTAAGACACTGACATGATTGAGGTTCAGGTAAGAAACTGACATGATTGAGGTCCAGGTAAGACACTGACATGATTGAGGTTCAGGTAAGATACTGACATGATTGAGGTTCAGGTAAGAAACTGACATGATTGAGGTCCAGGTAAGATACTGACATGATAAAGGTCCAGATAAGACACTGACGACAGATTTTTATCAATTACAGTTAAGCCTGAACTTACAGATTATGGAAATATGTTAATGAGAGGTAATTTACTCAAAATATACTTACAAAAAAATTATGTGAATTCCAGTTTACCCGGAAAATGACCCTTGCAATTAACAGTTGGTCGAACGGTAGTAAGGAGGAGTTTTGTGTATTAGCCTGAAGTATAAAGTTTACACTAAGGTAGCAACAATGACCCTTTTTTCGCAAATTATAGTTTGATTATCAGGGGATGTTGTTTTACAGGAACGATCTAGTGGACGGAGTGCTCAGTACAAACTTACATCTACAGCAATGTTGTGGCTGCAGACTTCCAAGGAGAATTCAGGAGTCATGAACCTCGGCGGTAGTCTCACACGTCAGATAGAGCAGGATTGTCCCGTTAGTGAAAACACACCACACATATATAACATTGGCAGGATGGTGGAGGTAAGTAACTTCAATTTTCTTCATTCTTCTCGATTCCCTGGTCCTTCTTTCATGTCTGTGTCCTCACACTCTATGTATCGTCACCTTCTGTCTTTCTCACCCCTGCAGGTGTGGGATCAGGAAAAGAATACACCTGCTGCAGGTATCTGTAGGAGGCAACTAATGGGGGAACCCCTGCAGAATTGGGGATTTGCTTTGGTGCCCTCTATTTGGGGACACAAAAGCAACCAAAATAAATCTGCTGCGCCCATTACAATATTCGGGATCTTCATCTTTCTTTTTACTTCTATCTACCTTTTATTTCCTAGTGCCTTGCTTTGCAACACCTCACTTTTGGCTTGAATGTTAAGCATTCGCCCAGGTGAGGAATGCAATGGGTTCTGTCCCCAGGCCGGGACATACCAAAGTCCTTATAAATTGTAACTGTTATTCCCTGCTTAACGTTCAGCATTAAGGGGAATGCAACAACTGGTTCACCCGTTGTCAGTTTAATGTGATCGGGCGGAATGCTGTGCTTGGTGCTTTCGGCATGGCATTTCAGTGAGATAGCACTATAAAGTCAGCATCAGATCCGTGCTATCACAAGGAGGCAAGCACACCAAAACATATCCTGTCTCCTGCATACACACACGCAAGCACCCATACACTACACATGGAGGCACGTCCTTAAATTACCTTAGCTGTTTATAGGATGTTAAACAAAATTAAACCAAACCAATCTTGTCTTTCTCCCTCACTTCTATGTGTGTCTCTCTGTCTCTGCCTAAAAATGTTTCTGTCTTCCTATTCATTTGATGTCTCTCTGAGTCTCTCCCTTCTTCCATCCTTTCTCTTTGCTGTTTTCCTCCCCCTATCCTCCTTAATGGCACATATCTGACAATCTACCTCCTCTTCTCTCTCATTTCCCATCTGCCTAGTCACGGTTACCTATATTTTAGGACGTTGGTTTGGTTAGACTGTGAATTTATCTCTATTCAATCAACAAGGGACCAGGGCATATGTATGTTTTCTAGGTCATAATTTATTCTATCTCAATTGAAATGAATTGACTGAAACTTTCAATATTTCTTTTCCAGGAGATGGAGAACAAAATTAGACACACATTAAATGAAATTTACTTTGGGAAAACCAGGGACATTGTATATGGCCTACGAGCAGTAGACCAGATCGCTGATAAGAAGCAGGAAGACTTGAGGAAGGAACTTAAAGGATTTCTCCAGAACCGAATCCAGTCACAGTGATCTCACGCCCTGGGTGGGGGTCATAGGTCAAAGGCTTAATTATTATCAAACGCAACATTCTTGTGCTGGTGACCATTTCTTTCATGTGTGTGGTCTGAACAAGTGGGAAATCACGGATCAGATGACACAGCTTTACTGTGTGGTCTGAGCGAGGATCAGACAGCACATGACATATACAAATACTAACACTCTATAGCTCAGAGGACTAGACGATCACTAGTTCACTCCCTTGGGGATCTTTTTAATGGGTAAAATTGTGTGCATGGAAGAATAAAACAAAACAATATCTGCATGCTCTAAAATTCAATATTATTTGGAATATACATATTCACTTTGCTCTGTTTCAAAATGGGATATGTTTAGAATCGAGTGTATCGTACATGTATACAGGTAAAGCGTAAAAAAAAATAAAAAAAATAAAACGTTTGACAGATTAAGATTGTATTGAAGTACACCGCTAATGAAGCGTTCCGTTGTTAATGTTGATTCTTGGTCCCAAGCGTTGTGTAATTATCTATCAAGGAGCAAGTCCACAGTATTCCGATAAAAAAATTCCTCTGCATGCTGAACGGATCAATTATGTAGTTTTGTGTATGTGTGGAATAATAGTAGACAATCACAAACCATTGGGCAAATCTCTACATCCTCCTAGGTAAGTTTCACAGGAAATGTGCAACCTCCTGGACCATTTTGTCAGGAGAGTACTGTATTCCCATATACAAATTTGCCCAGAAACTTTTAACACCCTCATTAGTAAATTTGACAGGAAAGTTAACAATGCACTAGTTTTAGTTTCTTTATAATGCATTTACTTTTTGGCTGATATTTTTTTCCTATAAATCTTTGTCCTGTGAAAGATGTGTAAAATCTGAGCAACCATTCAACACTGAATCTAAAACTTGACCCAGACATTTGTAAGGATGAGAGAGGTATATTTGAAACTTGATCCATTCTAAATCCTGATATACAGACAACAAAAAACAAATCTGGAAATCCTCCTGGGTATTTCACTGCCATAGACATCAACAAACATAGTCATGGTTACATAGCAGGTAACCATGGTAACTGGTGTAAAGGTAAATGCCGTGGGAACTACTGCAGGTAATGCAGTTACCATAGGATCTGCTATATATATACCTAGGTACCACATACATAGTTGCCACGGTAACTGGTGATGTCACACAGTTACCATGATTACAGTACAGGTAACATAAATTGTTACCATGGTAACTGATACAGATATCTACCAGGTATTCCTCTTTCTGTTATTAAGAGTGAATAATTTACCAATTTGATTTAAGGTTCCCTTTTATCGAGCCCAACTACATAATATAGTCTATGTATAAAGGTGTAAACAATATATGTATCTACTGTTATTATATATATGCAGTCTAATATTATGTGATTTTTTGTTGACATATTTATTTACTACCATTTATCTTAATTTAACTGTAGTTTGAACACAAATGGTAGTAATTACATCGCTTTACAAGACTGTAATGAGGGTGTTGTTGGTTTACCTGAGTTAGAGAAATTGAGAATATAAACAAGTAGAAAATTTTGTTTTATTTTAAACAGCTATGCTGCTTACCCTTCTCAAACCAAAACATTATTGAATGGAGTTTTACAAGGAATATGTCACACTTTCCAAATGTCATAAAGATTTTATTTTGAAGTGTTGAGTAAGAAATTCATCAGGAGACATACATACTGGTGTGTATTCATTCAAACATATGTTATTGACATTAAACAGTCAAAGGGATTGGACCCAAGTTCTAACAACTAACTAAGCCCTCTCTGGTGTGTTTAGGGAGGCCATATAGCGTAACGCATGTCTACCACAATTTGATGTTACAGAGTCTGATTCTTATTCCTGGACTAGGTATTTGTCTCATGAAAATAAAACCCTCATTTCTCAGGTCACCTTGGGTTGCTCGGATCAACTTGAGTTCTTTGTAAACATGTTTAATCTTATTTATATTGAACAGGTGTTTGATCTGAATTCTGTTACCTGTACAGATAAGGACACACCTTACATTGCTCCCCAATACTCCAAAAACATTTCAATAACCTTCCTAAAATATCGCACCACACTGTCAGATAACTACACTTTAATAAGACAATTGGTAAAAACTGTTGGAACCACTTGTCAGGAAAAGGTTTATGACCTTATTTTTCCTGATTTCATGGCGAAAAATTCAACATAACATCTGACATCAACCAAATATATCCACTAAGAAAAAAGTCTACATTTACCTCCTACGTTACAGCACTGACTTAAATAGCAGTCCGATTCCTTGGTTACAGACTGCGATGTTTAGTCTTTTTCATGTGAGCATGGTTTGGGTGATTTAAATTACTGTAATGATGAAATGATTTTTTAAGGAAATGATTAACAAGCATTTGAGTGTAGTGTCAGTAATCTGGTTTTATATATTACAACTGTCTACAGAAACACAGATGATTCCAGTAGCTTTCCAAGTTACATCTGTACACAGAGCTAATGAGATTCCTGTAAATACTATAACTATTATAATGTAGGGCCGACACGTTGTTGTCCTCTAGCTTTGAATAATCTTAATCATTTTGATGCTTGGTAACTCTGTGCCAAGTTTTTATTATTAAAATATTGCTGATGTAATATAACTTGTTTTGTTATCTGTGTTTTGTATTGCCCTCTGGATGACATGGGGAAATATTTTGTATTCAGTTGAAGTCAAAACTTTATAACAGGTAATTTTACTGGGTGCTAATTTGTGCAGATTTGGATTTGAGCACAAAACCTAAAATCTCAAGAAATAGTTAATGATTTATCCCCAGATTCGAATTCAGACTGCGTTTCTGAATCGCCAGTTGGTCACACTTTTTTCTGAAGACCCGTAAAAAGATATTTTTTTAGAAGAATTGGGATGAAAAAAAATCATACAAAACAAGCATTCTACATATATAGAAAAAAAAACGGGCCACCAAAATCTGTTGCAGTTTCAGTCGCTGACTAAACCAGACCCACAAAATCTGTAGTATAAGTTTAGTGTGTCGAGTTCATTCCGGTAGGAATTCGCTGAGGAAGCCGAAGGAGTGATATAGAAAGGATGATGCAACTGGAGTGATAGGCTGAACTGTTCATGTTTCTCTCGAAATATTTGGTAATTCAAACTGAACGCAATAGAAGAATGGTTGTCCCTCTGCATAGTAACAAGAATTCAGCAGGAGTGGATGTGTCGCCTGCTCAGTGTTTTTAGTGGAAAAAAGTGCTTTGGCTTGAGCTATCATGTAAACAAGCAAAAAATAAAGGCAAAACCAATGAACAGCGTTAATATATTAAGTGGTATATGCCAAAATGCAAAAAGTTAAAACTTGACAGTAAAATTCGTAATTTATGTTGAACATTATTGCTTCTAGCATTACCGTACAAAACTTCATTAAAATTCATTAAAAAATAAAAATAAAAGTTCTTCCATTTACTATGCAATGCCCTTATTTGGCAATAAAGGGGCATTACTCCACCAACATTCCATGTAAACTTCTGTAATGTGAACTTGTTCCAGCTATTTTGGTATGCAATATTTTTTTAAGTTTTGAGTTCAATCAACCCAAAAGAACTCGGTTATCGCACGGAAACCTTGTTTTGGACGACCACACTGATAAAGTAATACCCATACGTCTCCTTGCGTTGCAGGCGACACAATAAAAGGATTTTGTGAGTATTTTATTGTTATAACCATTAGTATCGTGAACCGGCTGATGTACTCACAGCTTTTGGCTTGGTGGTTCTCGCTGGGATGTAATCGGTGTCTAGAGAGTATCTGTCCAGTATATAATGTAATACAGTCCTCAGAAGGACTTAGGTAGCAGAATATAATGTAATACAGTCCTCAGAAGGACTTATTGTGCCAAAACATAAAGTTGCTAACTAGCTGATTACTGTCAAGATATCCTTGTTGATTATTAGGGACCCGTCCGTACGAATGGTAGGCACAATAAGTTAGTGGATCACATTGTCTTGTGAATATCTCATGTACTTGTTACACAACATTGTCAAATTTTGTATGTGAATATATATATACATATGTATACTATCTGAGGTGGTGAAGTGTCGCATATTGTAATACAATTATTTACCCAAAATGAATAGAGCTATGACCATTTATTCATAGTGCATCGCTTTGTCCCGGGCATATCTTATATTATCTGTTGCATACATTTGCTATATCTTGTATGGCACTACCTCTTGGCAGGGGCCCTACCTGAAAAAGGGTCTTGTTCCCCACTTAGTCGGAGTTACGGCCCTTTGTTTATTTTGATGGCAAAGATTTCCAGAGTCGGGGGATAATGGGACTGCTTACAATACTTTTCCTTGTTAGCTCGACTGGAACAAAATACCAAGGTGAGCACATCCTTCTGTCGTCTAGTCGTTTGCTGGTGAGCACATCCTTCTGTCTGTCTAGTCGTTTGCTGAATAACCGAACTACTCAGTAGTGAAGTGAAAATCAAACCACTCATACTAACAAACAAACATCCATATGTCATCGTCCTTCTGTAAACGTCTCACTAAACAATATCTCCTTTCTTCCAAAATAATGGATAGAATTCCAACAAATTTTTCTGCTGATATCTTTTGGCCATGGTGATAAAAAGTTGTAAATAATGATGCCACTCTATTTACACATCTATCAGAAAGGTGTTCATTATAAACTGGTATTCTGTTTAGACTGGTATTACTGTGTTGTTCTGTTTAGACAGATATCACTGGTGTTCTGTTTAGACATATATCACTGGTGTTCTGTTCAGACAGGTGTCTCTGTGGTGTTCTGATCAGACAGGTGTCACTGTGGTGTTCTGTTTAGACAGGTATCACTGATGTTCTGTTTCAACAGGTGTCACTCTCGTGTTCTGTTTAGACAAGTATCAATGTGTTGTTCTGTTTAGACAGTTATCAATGTTATGTTCTGTATAGACATGTATCACTGTGATGTTCTGTTTAGACAGGTGTCACTGTGGTGTTCTGTTTAGACAGGTATCACTGTGATGTTCTGTTTAGACAGATATCACTATGATGTTCTGTTTAAACAGGTGTCACTCTCGTGTTCTGTTTAGACAAGTATCACTGATGTTCTATTTAGACAGGTATCACTGATGTTCTGTTTCGACAGGTGTCACTGTGGTGTTCTGTTTAGACAGGTATCACTGTGATGTTCTGTTTAGACAGGTAGCACTGTGGTGTTCTGATTAGACATGTGTCACTGTGGTGTTATGTTTAGACAGGTGTCACTGTGATGTTCTGTTTAAACAGGTATCAATGTTATGTTCTGTTTTGACAGGTGTCACTGTATTGTTCTGTTTAGACAGGTGTCACTGTGGTGTGCTGTTTAGACAGGTATCAATGTGATGTTCAGTTTATACAGGTATCACTGTGGTGTTCTGTTTAGACAGGTGTCACTGTGGTGTTCTGTTTAGACAGGTATCACTGTGTTGTTCTGTTTATACAGGTATCACTGTGTTGTTCTGTTTTTATAATAATAATAATAATATACAACATTTATATAGCACCCTATATAATTTGTAAAATTACTCTAAAGCGCTTTACAACATATGGATAATAGTAATGGTTATAATTGTGAAAACAAAAAACAAAGGCTTACAATCACTTTTATACATTTAAGCAAGCAATGTGCACATAATTGAACAAATAAAAGGGTGGTATTTACAGGATGTCTTTGTAAAGATTCTAAAATGCAGACGTAAAGAGGTGAGTTTTGATGTCCCTCTTGAACTTGGCAAGGGTATTTGACTTTCTAATAGCAGATGGTAAGCTATTCCGCAACGTAGCCGAAACCCTCCCAAAGCATCTGTTTCCGTAGGTCACAGTACGATATTTTGGGACACACAACAAGGATTCTGACTCCGACCGCAGTGATCGTGACAGCTGATACAGGGTAACAAGCTCCTGTAGGTACCGAGGAGCTGTTCCATTCAGTGCCTTAAATGTGTACACCAGAATTTTGTACTGCGACCTGTATCGTATAGGTAACCAGTGCAACGAATAAAGCACATGTGTGATGTGCTCTCTATTTCGAGTACGAGTAACTAGCCGTGCTGCAGTGTTATGGACCCTCTGCAGACGACTAGTTAGTTTGTCAGATATACCACAGAGCAGGGCGTTACCATATTCCAACCGAGAGGTAACAAGTAAATGCACCAAAATTTTGCATGCATCTGCAGTTATATTTCCGAATACAGCTGATGTTCCTGATCTGGTAGTAACAGGATTTGGCAATAGCGTTCACCTGTGTCTCCATGTTCAGTGAACTATCAAAGTATACCCCAAGGTTTTTAACAGCTGGAACAGTGTCGATAGTTCTGGCACCGACCTTGAGCTGGAGAGCAATTGTTTGCTGACACTTTGGGGAAAAGACGATAAGTTCCGTCTTGATTGAGGTTAAACATGTTGGCGTTCATCCATATACTGATAGCTGTCAGACAAGCTTCCAGACTTTCTGAGACTGTATTCCAACTGTCCTGTGGTTTGATGACCATGTAAATATGTGTGTCATCGGCATAGCAATGATCGCGAAGCCTATGGCGATGACAAATCTCTCCAATCGGGTTGGAGTTAATACAATATTTTCGTGGTCCTAACGTCAAATGCAGCTGACAAGTCCAGCATGGCAAGCACCGTTCTGCACTTGTTATCCAATGCAGAAGCTATATCATTATGTACACGTAGGAGGGCCGTCTCAGTAGAGTGTCCCATGCGGTAGGCCGATTGCATGTTGTCATGGAGACTGTTTGCATGGAGATGAATCTCTAAACGCCAGGATACAACCGTCTCCAAGATCTTAGGCAGAAAAGGGAGATTTTAAACTGGGCGGTAGTTTTTCAACTCCTCCTTGTCCATTCCTGGCTTCTTTTACAATGGTCTGACATGTGCCTTTTTGAAACATAATGGAACCTTTGACTCAGCCAATGATTTGTTCATGATTGCGGTAATCAACGGAAGCAGTGCCTCAAGACATTGCTTTATAAGGTCTGTAGGCAGTGGATCAAGCTCACAGGACTTCGATTGCGAGGTCATGATAATGTTGCGCAACTCGTCCTGGGTTGTTGGTGAGAGCTTTGTCAATGGTTCCCCATCAAATGAAATGTCAGCAGTCATGACAGAGATGTCAAAGTCAGCAGAGGTGTTCACTTCGGCAATATTTTTCCTGATTGAGGTGATTTTATTGTGTTTTATCAGGTTTCACTGCATTGTTGACAAATTTTTAGTTTTTATATTTCATATCTCCTTTTTAACAAGTATTGTCTCTTATGGGGAATGAAAATGTTTTTCAACCATAGCAAAGGACATGCATTATAAGAATCCGTTAAGTCAATCTATTAAGTCAATTCTAAATACTTTTTTTATACTATATTTCGTACCATCAAAAATGTTAAGATGAATGATACGATTTTACATAATTACTTATAAGCAAATGAATCGTAAGTACTCATAAAGATATAAATGAAAAAAATGGTAAGTTACTATTTCACAATTGTACATCTGTTCATAAGTTTCTATTACCAAGCCTTTACTCAGCAGACTTTTTACGATTGTTTTAGAGTTGCTTCCCTTCGACCATAAAACTAGCGGATAACCATTGC